GATCAATAAGACAGGCATGGGAAAAACCAAAAGAGATTCAGAGAGCCCAGATTATAAGAAAGCCTGGGTTCATTGTGTGTAATTCTGTCTTTACTTGAAAACCTAAACATGAAAGTCTACTTCTGTTCATTGGCCTGCTGTGAACACGTGGCAGCCTACCCAGAGACAATTCCAGTGACGGCCGATCAAGGTTTTTTCCTGGCTACTTAGAGTCTAAATAGCTGCCCAGGTTTAATTAATAGTCTACAGTTATAATTGGAGAGCAGCCAGTTTCTGAGACAGACATCTAAATGAAAGGAAGATTTCTAACTCTCTTCAGGAGTCACTTATCTGGGCCTGGTGAGATAGACTCAAAGTTCTCTGGAGACCTCAACTATTATTTTACGGAGTTCACTTAGTTTGGGGTTCCTGCATGGTGTTCTGGTACCCACTTTCTCTGCTGATATTCATCTTGCAAAGAGATCCCAGGTTTGATTCTGGGAAGATTGGCCTTAAGGTTTTTAAGCAGTGCCCACGCGTTGCCAAGAATCTGTAACAAAGCAGCAAGAAACACGGCACTGATAGTTACGGTGCGAATGTCACAACCTGTTTAAGGGGATCATCAGGAAATGACAACAAGGATTCCAATGGGGCTCACTTTTTGATCCACCAGGAGTTTCAAATGGCAATTATCATTAATTCTTGGATCCCCTCAGCCCTGACAGAAAACCAAGGCGTCGGAAACTATCATTTCGTGAACAGACAGCTATTAAAAACACATTAATAATCTATAGAGGGTATAGCATATGCCTTTTAGAAAGATTTGCAGCTTGCTTCTCTGTGGTGAAGACACAGGACTTCTCCAATCTAATTACAAAGCAATCAAACAATTTAATTAATCTGGAGATCACTTTCTTAACAATAGCTGCCTCTGAAATGAGGTACCCTGTGTTGCGCCATTAGGTAAAGTATGGTTTTCATACGCTGCTGTGTAGTGGCCTTGCTGGTTCCCCATGGGGATCGTGGAGTTAATTACCTACCAAATGCGTGGCCACTGCTCAGCTTTGCTTTACCAGGTCAGAAGCATCAGCAGCGATACCAGCAGTCTATAAAGTGTCCTAGCACTCGAACATCCAAAGCCAGCAAATCCCTGGGAGCAGCAGGATTTGAGTTATAAGCAAGTGCTGCACATATGGGCAGAGAATTAACTGGCACCAGTTTTCATTTGAGAGTCTCTCAGGTATTGCTTTGCAGATGGGTGGATGAATTCAGAGAGCAGTGCTATGAGGAGTGAAGGTCATGTATAGGACTCTGGTTTCAATCCATCTTGCTCTCTTATCCGGGGGAAGCACTGTGTGTGTGCACAGCAGACACGCCCTCATCTCTGAGTTAAGAATATATGAGATGTGCTTTCTAATTTGGCTTAATCTAAATTAGCAGTATTTTGATCACTGTATAACAAAATAGCATTGCTAAGTCTTCAGAGACCAAGTAGAAATCAATTTTTACCTCAAATAAGAACAAAGACTTCAAAGATTGACTTCTGCCTGTCTAATCTGATGTTCTTATAATTTCTCCCTAAGGAAAATTGAGGAATTTTCTATAATACATGGCACATAAATCGACAGAATGCTCAGTTACACTTTTCTTCTGTTACCACCACTAGTCTATTTCATTTCCCAAATTGCTTATCAATGAGTCAGTCATTCTCCTGGTCCACCTACATTGGAAATCTCAATCACCTTTTGTCTGTACTCTGTTTCCCCACTTATTTCTAATCCATGAGTAATGCTTGGTTTGCCCACCAAAATATCCTTTCTATTGGTCTTTCATGTCTTGCTGTAGCTTGTCCTCTGCCAGTCCCCTGCCTACCCATATCAGGTACACTCAGACCAGGTCAAAACTTCTGGTGTCTCTCTCTTGCCTCCAGGTATCTCTGAAGACCTCCAACTAGTTAGTACCAATAACCACAGTTCACAGCTCATTGGCTTTGCCAGTCTGAATTCCCTTCTGCCCGAGAGCCTGTCTCCATTGCCCCACTGTGTTTGGGTTGTTTATGACCCCTTCCCTAAGTTCCCTTCTGTTTGTCGTCTTATCTAAAGCTTGCTGAATTGGCCTCAATTTGAGCTAGAGCCTCTTGTCCTTAAGGAATTATCAGGTGCTCTACCCTGCTTTGCCCTCACTCATTTTCTCTAACATCCCAAGATGCTTAAGAACCATAATGATGCTTTGTGTGTGTATGTGTATTTGTGTATTTGCATTTCTTCTTTTTTTTATTTCTTTTTTTTAATTTCAGGATATTATGGGGGCACAAACATTTTGGTTACATGTTATATTTGCATTTCAACTTAGCTTTTCAATCTGATATGAAACAAAGATCTGCAATTAGATGATACAGATAGCTCTATAGTCGCTCCCTGGTGGTCTAGTGGTTAGGATTTGGCGCTCTCTCTCTCAGATAGCTTTATAGTCTTGAAGTTGAAGATGTAGAAATTTGGCTTTGGTTTTACAGCAGTATAGGAGTAGATGAGAAAAAAATAAGGAAATTTTTCAGTTGATGGATGGACCTGGAAAGGCATCCTAAAATGGAAAGGCAAAATCTAAAGATGAGGAATAGTTAATGGCAGCCTTAATTTTTTTTTTAAGAGCACAGTTAAATTAACCTACCTCTTGTATTTATATCTTTGCCCATCCATCCTCAAGGTGATGAGTCACCATGTATTATAAAATGTCACATGGCTTCTTAGGTACCACTTACTAAAACCTCTAAAAGTGAAAAGGGCTTTGTTAATTCCTTATTTTTCCCTTTTTCAGATTTTAACATGTTAACTGCTATGTGAGTTGTGTTTAACTCACGTTAGTTTTGAGTGAAGCATATGTAACTCACATGTCTCTTTACCTTGGCAGCTACATGAACTATTTTTCAAGTTGCATGTAACTCACACACAGAAAACAATGAAAGATAACAAATTTTTTGTTAAATTAGAATGGATCATTTTGTTTTCAAAATTTTCATTCTCTTTTCATAATAAAACACCGTGACCCCAAGGAAAAAAAAATTTTACTAGTATGGCAGTCAATGTGTTAAAAAATATTTAATAAGCTCTTTCTAATTGTTCTAGTTAATCACATTATAATCTCCAGATACAGTGTTTTCTTTACAAAGAACACAGTGCTAAGAACTTGGTGCCAGATTTCATTGGTCTTATTATTTCATTCTAAGTGAATAGGGTACCAAGGATTGTTCTCAAAATGTCTTGACTTCAAATAATCAGTTATTTTGTTAGTCCTAATAGTTTATAGGTAGTTTTCCCTATATGGTGTGTGAGCAAAGTGAATACTTTTCCCAAATGAAAGACAAAATCTGTATGAAGATTTCCGGCATTAGAAGCAAAATTTTTTAGTCATCTCAGAATTATCAAGATCTTTAAGGAACATGAAGAGTAACATACAAGCTAAGTTCAGGGTACAGAAGGAATGAAGGCTGTTGAGAGAAGTTGAAAGAACTTAATTTAGCTGTGTAGATAAATGGACAAAATGAATCCTGGATTACTAGATGGCAAAAGCAGAATCCATTTTCCCAGGAGCCCCCGGAGCAACAGATGCAAAGGCATGATAAATTTCATGGCGGCAGGGGGAAGAATGCCTTGTGATTCTCTATCCATAAAGAAATGGGCTTCTCATTGCTTCCCAATTAAATGGCCGTGATTGTGCTGTCTGTCATAAAGTTAATGGCATTTGTTGAAGACATCACTATAAAATTTGCAACCTTAAGTTAATTGAAAATTTTCAGTAGAGACTTAGCCAGACCAGGAGTCCTCAAGGTAACACTAAACTTATCCTTCTTAATGTGTTTGCCTATTCTTTTTGCACACTGGCAATAAATTGTTTACCTTTACAGCCTGGTACTGACTTTAACGTGAAATCTTGTATTCCTTACACCTAATTACAGTAGTCACTTTCGTTAAGAAACCAGTAATACAGCAATTGATTTGCCGTTAGGGATTCAACATTTTCCCCTTTTCAAGAATGAGCAGGATTACTTTGCAGCCTTTCCTCAGCCCCTTGTTTAAACCAGCTACAGTCCCATGCGGTCCTTAGACGAGTCTGCCAATCTAATTAAACATGCGCAGGGAAGCAGGGTGGTCTGGAGTGTCCTGAACTTGCCCTCACCAGCTGCCCGCCACGCTTTCTCAATGATAGCAACAGGTTGAGTGGCCTAATTGAGAAAGTAACAAGCCCCAGAGGAGCTGCCCTGCTTCCAGTGAGCAGTCACTGCTCCACCCCGCCTCTGAAGGACGTGGGGAGACGTGCTCTGCCAGCCTTTGTGTGGCTGTGGCTTTCAGAGGCTGGTGGCCAGTCACAGTCCAGCTGCTCAGGAGCAGAGGGATTGTTGAAGGAAATATTGACAAGGGGTAATCCTGCTGGGCTGCCCGGCGATGCTGAGCCACATCTGGATCATCTTAGAAATAGGTCCGAACTGCTGGATTCTGCCCAGCATTTTATAACTAGTTCTGACACATGTGCCTTTGAAATATGTACTTTGGAATATGAGGATTTATCTTCAAGAGCTCAGACTTTTATTCAGCCTACTGTAAATAAACACTAAGGCTGCCTCCCTAAAATTTAGAAAGCATCACCCTCCTCTCCCCCATTGAAGCATACACTTACCCATCCGTCCTGCTCTTTGAAACGTTACCCTTTGCAGGGTCACAACCAAGACATTTATATATCCATTATTCTATGGGACTGAAATATTTATGCGATTGAATCTATGGCAGAGTGCTGCCTGGTGATAAAAGTGAATGTGTTTATTCATGTATCTTATACACTTGGAAAATTGCTGGAACTCAGGCTCCTCCCTCCCCGCCCAAATCCCTGCTCCGGGTAAAACGTTGGGGGAAAAGGCATTTTACAGAAACATGAAGTATTTTATTCCTGAGATGATGATGATTCTGGATGCGGATAATGATACAAAAACAAAATCATGTTGTAAATCTTTCTCTTCTTTCTCTCTATAGGAAATAGTCCTCAAGATAGTCCAAGAAATTTCTCCCCCAGTGCCTCAGCCCATTTTTCATTTGCACGGAGGTAAGGACTTTTTGTGAATGGCATAATACGGTGTTTTGTAGAGAATCCTATCTCTTCTCTACCCTGCCTTTTACCTTGTAAGGTCCTGCTTGTTCTCATGTAAGACCTTCTCGAAAGTCCCCTGGCCAAAGGAGCTTAGGCTACTGCAGAACTTCCTTTTAACACACCTGCTTCAACAGTTTTCATAGTGACTTCTGATTTGGGTTAGTTATATGTCCCTCTCTTGGTCCTTTGCTAAATGGTCCAAGTTCATGAGCTCCCAGTGAGGGCAGGACATTACCCTTTCTGTCTCCCACCCCTAGTGTGGTGCCTTGTACATGCTTGGTGCTCCAGAGATTTTTACTGAATTTTCTGAGCTGATATTATTGGCACTCGATTCATCTGTGTTCTAGTGTAATTTTTTTTTATTATTGTCAAAAGACTTTTTACAAAAATGACTTTCTTGAGGTCACAGAGTATAAACTGTGAGATGCCTCTCTGTTTGAGAGCATCAGGTCATCGATATCTTGATCCCCCTCGAGAAAAAGCTAAGTGTGAGCTAGAGGATGTTTTGTGTTTTCTCTTCCTGTCATGTTTAGATTTGGGCACCAAATATCAAAGATACGCATGTCATATCTAGGTCATTGAGTCAAGAGGAAGCATTTGTTGCTCAGAGGATGGTGGGCAAATGATCTAATGTCAAAACCTTTTCAGTTATGAACTTTCTACTGGGATTTAATCAAGTAAGAGGAGTGTACATGGTCATTTCTTCTGCATTCTGCATGTGGAATTAGAGTACATCACCTGTCAGATTGCAACGTTCCTCTTTCTGGGCTTCTTCACCCTTCACACATGTACACCTTATTCTGCTCCACCCAGGTAAAGCACAGAGAAAGCAGAATGCCCCTTCAGTCAGGGTTCTGAATATTCAGGATATATTTGGTTTATTGTCTGAATGTCCTAGATATTTGCTAAATTTTCTTCAAGAGACGTAACCATATCCTGAAGTAGATTAAAGCAGCACATATAGATAGGCTTAAAAAATATGTGTTCTTACATATACCTTGCAGTATCCTATCGTTTATCAACATGTAATGCATTTTATATTATGAAATCCAGGGGGAAAAGGCTATGTTCACAGCATTTTCAGAATTTTGAATAATTAAGATTCTATTATAAATCTCATGAAAAAGTTTTTTTCATTAGTTTAGTCGCTTGTATATATTCTACCAGAGGATATAAGAGTGATTAAAACATTATCTTCAAAGAACTTAGAGACCCACACCCCAATTTTTCACCAAGTCCCAGCTTTCATTTTTTTTAGTTCCTTATTTTAAGTACTGTTAAAGAAAATGTGAAAATTATCTGGAAAGCTTGTTTGCACAATGAATATTAATTCATGATGGTGCTTCTATTTTGAGTGGGAAAAATCCTATAAAAAATGATAAATAAGTGCCCACCACAGTCTCTAAAGCACATCTCTAGAAAGGGGGGATGCATTTAATTACTATAAGTAATAAGAAAAGTGGAAATCTCATTATAGAGTGCATTTAAACATGACAGAAATCATAGTGTCTTAATCCTGCCAGATTTATAAAAATGAAGAGAATCCAATAATTAAGTAGGTGACTAGAGGACAGATGAATCTGGTTTCTGTGCTATAAAAAAAAAAAAACGCAAACCCCCAGACATGTTAATATTTTGACAAATAAACCATAAACCGTGACAGGAGATTATCACAGGAGACCTCTAGTTCACTTTGCATGAATTTCCAGATGGAACTCCCTCCACACTCTTCAAAAAGTATTAATTTAGATTAGGGTATGAGTGATCATCTTTTTAAACTTTTATTCAAGTAAACAGAATCTTGTCCTATGAGCCCTCAAATTGGTATCTTTTTATCTAACATCTGGGATCTTTCTCTCCATTTTAGAGTTGATTTTCATGCAGGAAACGTGGAGATTCCTCTCATGGGTGTTAATTCCCTTCCATTTGGTGTGCATTTTGAAGCCTTTAAACAGTAATGTCATTTTGAGACTCCTGACATTTTACTGTTTTGTAAATTTAGCCCAATAGAGGAAATATTGCTCTGTTTTTTGAAATTCGTCTTAGGCAAAGGGATAAAGGGCTTATTAATCTTTCCTGATCTTTCTTGTACCATATGATAATACTCTCCTAGTAGACATTCCTGTAATGTAAAAATCTAATTGTATACTGGAAAGTATGGTAACATACATTGCTTCCCATATTTTCTAATACAGATTTGAGAATAAAATTATCAAGTTACTTTTTTAATATTAAGCTAAAATAAAAGATTAAAATGAGCACTATAGTATAGTAGATTTTGTCTGGAGCAAGGAAACACATTTTCACATTGCTAATTGTAATGCGGATTTACAATCCACCTGATTGTGGAGTTACTTAATATTTTTTTTACTTGGTGGTAAGATGACGGTGATAAAATTGCCCTACCTTTCCCAGAAGATATGGAGGTTTATGTTTTAGAAATTACTTTTACTTTCACTAGAAATATAGAGCCTTTGAATCAATGTCATGGGTCTCTTCTTGTTGGCTGGTTATTATTCACCAGGTTGAATCTCAGAATGTATTTCTACAAGCAGATTACTAGGACAGCTTGCCTGCTGGGTTCAGGTCATCAGACACTCGTTGAGTCCTGAAAGGCAGAGCAGCCTCCTAGTTACTCTTCCACAATTCCTTCTGGAGTGGATTTTAGTTGGTTACATTATATTGGCATAGTTCAACTTGTCCCAGCATCAACTAGAATACACAATGTATCACCGCACTGACTATAACAAATAAAGAAATCAGCTTCCTTTTCATACAGTTATAATAGCCAGGTTGATATTGGAACTTTTCATTCTTTCTTTGTTGTACGCCATATTATTAATCCATGCATTTTTGCTAGTAGTGTTGAAATGATGCTTTTTGTCAATCTCTTTGTGTTCTGTGTTCCCATCAGATGTATTTCCTTCTTACTTTTTCATTTAATGTAGCACTGAGATTGCCACCCACAAGAAAAATACTCTTTTCAAAAAAGTCTTGTTGCATTGGCAAGAATTTAGACTTGTCTTCAGATAACATTTTATTGGTAGCTACTGCAAAGAAAAGACAACATTGTTAGAAGGCTCCAAATTGCATTTGTGTGATAGCTTTCTTGAAAAAAGGACATGCTGTCTCTTAAGTACTGCATATAGCATATATAGTAACTTGTGATGTGCGGTTGTCATGGTAATGAAAATGCAATGGTCCTTTGTGCTCCATTTGAGTAAACAGACACGGACAACTTAGGGAACTTTATGAGACATAAATTATTTCTGGTCCGTGGCTGTACAGAGTACTGAGCACATTCTTGTTTAAACATCTTTCTAGTTGTGTGTTTTCCAGAGCAAGCAAATGTAATTTATGCTTTAGAACTAATAAGAACATGTCTCCTCTTGGAATTGTTCATTCATCTGAAATATGTTCATTGATACCTGAGGGAAAGGAGAATTAATGAATCACAAAACAAAATCATGGTGGGGGAAATTGTGTCCCTCACTCTTTCCAGAGACTAGTTTCTGATAATTGCTATTAAATGGACTGAATAATTCTTTTAAAATCATTTCTTTTTCTTATATCTTTAAATTAGAGGTGTTTAAAATATAAAGTACAGGCATGTATTTTTAACTCTTTAATAAGTAGCCAAATAAAATAGGATCAACCTGTGGTCATTTACTACATATCTTTATAAGCTTGTTATTATAATAATTTTCTTAAATTTTTAACATTTTAATTGTTTAAAAATATTTTTAGAGAACATGTAACTTAGCTCTCCCAATCCCTTATATCTGGTATATTTACATACATCTTATTTTGCTTCTTCTTTTTTTTTTTTTTTAAACATACTTGATTCAATTGTACTCCAATCATGGTACAGAAATGACAGGTAAATTTTTATTAATATCTTAACATTGTAGTAGTTCTGTGATTTGTTCACTTGAATTATGCCATTTTGTCTTTGTGGACCATTTGCATTTCTTGAAGGTAACAGCCATGGCAGCCTATGATTTTATTTTCCCTTGAATGTAAATTTAGGCCAAAATGTCAATTTTTTACATGAACATCTAACTGTGACCTTTCGCAAATTTAAGTCTAATGCTCTTGAATTCTCTGACTTCAACCGATTGTGAATGTGTCTCTTATAAATTTTGTCCACTCTTGTCTCTTACTTGGTAAATTAACGTAATTGTGAATTACAAAATGTCCGTGTATAATACCGCATCTAAGAATGCAATATTCCTCCTTATAAAATGTGTTTTTCCTGTTTTGCCCCTTGGCAAATTTGCCCATGTTTGTTTTCACAATGTTCAGTGACTTTTAAGGCCCAGTCTTACTCAAAATGGCTACTAAGGTAATAGCTCTGGAATGCCAGAGATTTCACAAAATTTGCTTTCTGGTGTCCTCTGGCCTTTCCAGTAGTATCATCTCTACTACTGTATTAACTCCCCTGAGACCTCTGTCAGGACCCTAATTCATAACCAGAGTCCAGCTCAGAAGCTACACATCCTATCCTTATTCGAAGATAAAAACCACTCTCTTCATGGCTCCTGACCGCTTTGACTGTAAAACTGGGGCAGACAACTTCACTCTTGGCCTTCAGTGCTATCACGGGGGAAAATTTCTCATTCTGCCCCCGCTGTCACTGGCCAGAGCTGGGCTGCATGCTAAAAAACGTCTGCTTTCGCTGTAACACCTCATGAAGCCAGGTCATGTCAGAGGGCAGTAACTCTTAAGAGATTCTGAGCACAGATCAGTCACTTTCTTAATACTAAAGTTATTGGCCACTTCAGGCTTAAGCCAGCCATGAGCCAAATGATCCCTTCTTCCCCGGGCCCGATGAGTAGATCTGTTTCCTGGAAAATAATAAGCAGAAAGTGTTCAGGATGCCATAAAAGTCACCACAGGCTCTTGTGCCATGCTGGAATTCAGGCCCTTCTACAGATCGTTGGCTCTCGGTATGAGTTTCCAGATGAGAGTGCTTTTCCTCCTCCCTTTCTGTGTTTATTCATTTGAATCTGCTGAGTCTGACCATTGTAATTATCCCTGGTATTCATTTTGTCAACGTGTATTAGTGAGAGATCAATAATATGGATCAACCCATTCACTTTCTACTTGTTTGGGTGTATCGATTCAGTTTAAATAAAAGTCAACCTGCTGTATAATGTTTGTTTACCCTGACCCTTGCTGAATGTTTCCACATCCTCACAGACTCTGTTTGTGTCCGTGTTTGACTAAAAATATATTCGGTTTCCTTGGGGTTCCCGTGTAATAGTACTCCAGTGTTGGCCTAAGCTAAACTCACTCTCCCAATAGGACGGATGGACGCCGCTGGTCGCTGGCCTCTCTCCCCTCCTCTGGCTATGGGACCAACACACCCAGCTCTACCGTCTCTGTAAGTGCCTGACATTTTTTCTCTCCCTCACAACCACAGAGCTATTACACAGGCAGTGTTTTCTCCGGGTGTTTCCTGGTAGGGAGGAGAAGATAAATTCTGCCTGTCTGCCACTCGGAGTAAGTTATGCATCAAATCATGGCCTGAGAAACATAAAAAGGACATACTTTTGCTGCAAGCTTTTAAACTGTGGGTACATAAGCGGAGTAAGTTGCAGGATTGCAAGTTTAGAGGAGATTGGGAGCTTTCATTTTAATACCATTTGGTGTAGTTTGGGGGAAAAAACACAATCTGGTTTTATTCCCTTGGTTCCATGCCAGTGATATTAGTGCTGAAAATGCCATTAAACTTTGATGGACTGGGCCTTTTTTCTTGTGTGGCTTAGACAGAGGATTGTTTTGTTTTGTTTTCCGTCTCCTTCAAAGAAAAGAAAATGGCAAGTCTTAAATTATCTGTGCCTCCTAGGTAAGAACTTTCTTTTAAGGAGAGGTTAAAACAACTTAGAAGGTTAAGAAATGAAAATAGGATAGAGGAAAAAGGTATGATACTCTTGCCCCAAACTATAACATCTCGACAAGGGGCCTCGCAATTACTGGAAATAATTGGGTAGGTTAGATAGATGCTTTTTGGTTTAAATTAGTGATGTTGTGGGATACCTGTATCTGTGGGGCTTTAGAAGCCAGGTTCATTTAGAAAGGTCCAGTATGTTGTAGACGTTCAATAGCTGAGGTGAATCAGCCCTTGTGCCTGCCAGGAATGTGGACCTCTGGCTCTAGAGGCCCTTCTGATTCATTTCCTTCCTCATTTTGTCAAAATCTCTGGTTCATTGTTTAGGGATATCCATCTATTGTATTTCTCACAGCTCCCAGCACTGAGTTAAGCACATAGATTCAGCCACTTAATAATACTTGAATTGACAAGAAACTACAATGACATAAACTCTGATAATCACCACTGCCTTATATTATGTGTTTCCAGAATTTGAAGTGTAATATGATGTGGGTTTTCTGGACCACCTTTAAAACCAAGTTGTCAAAATCTGTTAGATTATTTTTACCATCTCCTTATAGTATTTTATTGAGCAGAGAGAGATAATTTATTTTTCTGTCCATTATTCCATTTTGTTGTGATACATGAATTTATTGTCCATTTAGAAACATCCTAACAACCTTGAGTAATTTCAGTGGCACATCAACCTCACATCAGTAAAGGATGCCTAAAAATCCTCACTGGCATCAGGGAATAAAGTTGTCACTAAATAATGGTGAAGTCGTTCCTGATTATTAGGGCAGTAACCGGGATTGGTTATTGGCTCATATTTTAGATGTGTCTCCTAACTTCAAAGTCTTTTTCGTATTTCAACTATATCACCTTGTGTTGCCTTCAGTCACATTTTATTATAGCTTGGATACAGCAATCTCTTTTGCAAGAAAAATAAAGGAGAATATAGAATTTTTCTATCTCTAATCAGTAAGTCATACACCATTTTTGGAAATGACTTGATAAAGGGAGTGCTACATAGAATCTGATCCCATTTTGTACAAATAATTTTTAAAATAATTTTTAAATTATATTATTTTTTATTATATGGTAGGCACGAGTCTAATTAAAAAGCATCGGCTCATTTAGTCATAGCAACATGCCCTATGATGTAATTGCCATTATTCTCCTCATTTTATGCATCAGAAATCTGAGATACAAAGAATTAACTGAGAGACCGTTTACCATTCCCTTGTTCCCTCAGTAAGATTACAGTAAGCGGTCTAGGCCCCGGTCTCTCGGCTCTTTTTAAGGAATTTACATGGCATTTCTTAAACCCTGTAATTAATAAGCCTGGTCTTGCCATTAGTCACATGGAATCATTGGGGTCTCTAACTTCCATATGTGCCTACAGAAGAAGACCTGTGAGACAATTTTTAGTCATACACACTTACACTGTGTTTCTAACAGCTTTTCTTTTAAGTGTTTATTTTATCGAAGAAGGTGGTATCATATAATTATTGATGTCAATATTCCTATTTTTTTCCTTCAGAATGAAATTTTAGTTTCTGAAATTATTATTTTTGCCTGACAGAACTGTTCATAGACTGGAGGAGCTGTAGTGTGAAAGTCCAGCTATCTTTTGTCCTGATTGGTTGTTGATAAAAAAGTGATGAGTGAAAACTATTGTAGAAAAAGTACTTCTCTTTTTCCTCAATTTCTTTGTGTTCTTGTTTTTTTAAATATTAGGAGGAAAAGGATGCCAGACTGCTCAGTACTTGCAGTTTCTTCTTTTCTAAGTCTAATCTGAATCACTAGTAGATTCTCATTTTTCTAGGTTAATTGTTTAGTCATTTAGTCTATCGGAAATGTTATTTTTCAAATAAAAATATAGGATATGTACAAATAAAATTATAATCACTTTGAAAATACGTTTTAAATTTTACAGATATTTGTGTTGTTAGCTGAATGCCAGAACTACTTATGCTGAAATGTAAACATTAATATATCTTTATCCTGTGTATATTATGGAACCTGCAAAATTGCCAAATGTTAAAAATGCTATACTCTGAAATTAAAAAGATTTGGTCATATGAAGTTAATCAATCTTCCCAGAGAATATTTAGTATTGCAAATTCTTTTAATGTCAAATTTTGCAATTAAAATTAATTTATGAGGCTTTTCCAAGGTAATATTTAGATAATAATTTTTAATTTTGAAATAAGTAATATGGAATTGCAGCAGTAGGAAGATAGTCTCCCATATTTCTTACCAGATAAATTATTTTATTTTCTACTGAGTGAAAGAATGGAAATAAAAATATCAATACCATAAATTTGAATATGACTTTAAAATGATATTATTTTTAATAAATAACAAGTGGAAACTTATGCATGCATGTGGATACTATGCTTTGCAAAATGCTTATCTTGAGAGACTAAGTGCTTATTTTAATGATATTACCTGGAACATGTTTTTGAAATTCTAATTGCCTTGAAAACTAGCAGCATGGTTTTTTGCACAAGGCTTCATTCTTTGGAAATCAATTTGATTTACGGTGTAGTCAAAAATCATATGCAGACTAGTAGGGTGATGAGACTTATTAGTACCACACTTAGAGAACATGCTGGAAATACAAAGTAATGAGACTCAGTTTGAGAAATTCACAAACTAGTTCTCAAAACTCTTCTGAAAGTGGTATTCCAAAGACATCTTGACCCTTGGAGGTGTCTCTACAATAAATGTACAAGTTCTTGGGGGCGGCACTCAGGTTCCTCTGTCCTCCTAGCAGCTCTCCTCACTGGGCTGTCCCCTGACTCCCTCATCTCTGCTGAAATTGAACCTGTACTTCTCTGTTGTCCAACACGACTCGCCTTTTGGGCCCTATGTGGTATCTTTCGAATCACCCCCAGGCCATTTTGCTGGCCATGGCACAGTGGTTCCCAGTGCGGTAGGCTTATCCTGGTGTCCCTTGGGCCTGGCCCTGTTTCCATTTACACCTGGCTTATTCCAACTGAGTTGAAAGGGGTTCTCTCCCCAGAGAAGCTCCTTGCCACCTCCTCTCTTTAATACTGTCAAGGTCATAACACTAACTTGTACCACTGCATCCTTCAGCTCATCATAACTCTCAGTCACTAAACATGGGCCACATTCCTTAGGTTATCTGTTTATGTTTATGATATAACCACAAAATTTTCCTTAGACTTAACAGATGTTAATATTTTGTCATATTTGCTTACAACTGTTCTTAAAAGCAAATTTTTATTTCATTTAATAAATAAAATGTTGAAGATAACCACTGAAGCCCCTCTCTGCACCAGCGTCTTTCTCTTCCCTTCCTCCACAGAAAGACCCCTCACTGAAATTAGTTGATATTCTTCCCATGCAAGTACAGAGCCGTAATATTTTAGGTGAAACTCTTGAGCCTGGTGTGTTTTGGAATTAATTTTCACCTTTAGAAAGGTAACACGATCCCTTGTACTACACGTAATAGCCCAGCAGCAACTGGACCAGCAGCTCATAATAAAATATATTAGTATTTCTACAGCAACCTGAATCAACATTCACACTAACTGGATTAAATAAATATTTTAAATAGCTTCTCATCAGTTCAGTTGGTGCTTTGCCACCAAAAGAGATTACTGTAAATTCGTGAACAAACTTCTGGGTTCATGGGTTTTGAAATCTTGGCTACAAGATTGTGAACATTGATTTACCTTTGAGACGTATGTATAGATTCTAAATTCTGTTTTTCTTTTTGCTAATTTCCTTATCTTTGCTTTTATCACCACTGCTGCTCTCTCCTGCTTGCATTGATTTTATTATTCTTTTCCTGATTTCTTGAATTGGCTTAGTTCATGTGTTTTCTTTTTTCATAGTGAATGTGTTTTAAGACTGTGCCCATACTTTCTGAATCGAGCTTTGGTTTATCTCATAAGTCTTTCTAGTAGTCTTCTCATTTTTATGGTTTATAAAATAATCTCATTACATTATAAAATCCTTCTTTGTCACACAGTGTGTACTTAGTAAGGTGTTTTATAATTTCCAGTTGCAGGGATCTTTGTAAGCTTTGGTCATTAATTTCCAGTGCTGCTACATTGCAGTGCTTTGGTATTTACGAAGGGTGCTTGTAATGTAATGACAGATTTTTTTTTAAATAAAAAATCCTGTAAGAACTGACATTTTCAAGTGACTGCTATCTTTCCAAATATGCTTATTCTAACCATATTTCCACATACTCAAAAATGTCTCCATCTCTTTTATTAGAATTGCTCACAGTTTACCTCCCACTAAAAATGAAAACAGCAAATAATTTCTTTGCTTTATAGTTATATGTCTCGGATTGATTAAAAGCAGTGTTATTTAGCTGGTCCCCTTTTCTTGCTTATCTTGTTCCAAGTGTTGAGTGATGATTTTCATCTTCATCCCTCCGTTTTTTTACCCATGGCATATATTGATGGCAATTGCATCAAAGGACAGCATGCATTCTAAAAAGAGGTTTCATTACCCTATTTTTGATTTCACATTATATAATTTAATTATGTTACTTACCTAAAAGTTACAGCGTTTGATTATAAGCAGCAATAGATATGGGTGACCATATGCAGTTGAGAGCTTATCTGTGATATAATGCACTCAAATCTCACTCCAGTGGTTGCTTTCTTGTTTTGACTTTGACTAGGACCTATCCATTTTCAGATCTTGGCTTTTCTCCCAGGAGGAAACTATATTTTGGGAAATTGTCTTAACAAATAAATGAGATAAAATATGGAAGGCATTTTGACCTCTCAGAGCATCAACATACATATTTAGGTAGTAGTTCATATAATTATAACGTGAAAAGGAAACAATATAAAATAGCGGTATCACCCACGTTCTGCACATTGAACTCCTATTAGTCATTTGAAGAATTTCTTTTTGAGGTAGTCATATAATCTCATTTTGGTTTGTTTCAGTCATCCTGTTCCTCCCAGGAGAAGTTGCATCAGTTACCATATCAACCGACGCCAGATGAATTACACTTCTTATCGAAACATTTTTGTACCACTGAAAGCATCGCCGCTGAGAACAGATGCAGGAACACACCCATGCGCCCCCGTTCCCGCAGTCTGAGGTGTGTGGACCGAGCTGAACACCTTTACTTAGTTGAATTCTCTCTTTTCATCCATTTTGAGTGAAGACTTCTGGTCCTCTAATTCATACATGTGTTAATTGATTTGTGAACTACTATAAATATAGCACGATTTTTCCACCAATGCATGATATTCTTGATTACCTTTGAAATGATTCTTATTGTTTTTCCTTTAAATTCTTAGTTTGCTAATTGCTGCAGTAGCAGTAATCACAATGGCCTTGGGGGAAGACCTGCGAAAACTTCTAGCCATTGGAAATTTCAAGGCAATCTTGTTTGTTAGGTGTTCAGTTGAATATCAGAGTTTACCAAGAAGGGTTTTCTGTTCGTGCCATTCTTCTTCATGTAGTATTATAAACTAATATGAAATAAAGCCACGCTGGGATGTGTTAGGATATTCTGAGATATAGAATGAAAGACCAGTTACTGCTTCATCGACAGGGTGCCGTTTTTTGTTTATTAAAGGAAATCCTAAGATATCTTGTGCATGCTGAATCTACCCAGAAATATAAATACACTGAAGTTGCACAACTGTATACCACTAGGCGGGAACATGAACCTACTGTTGAAATAAAGAAAAACACACAACAGTTGTATGCCTTTGCTTCATATTATGCATAATGCCCACCTCAGCATCCCAAATAAATATTTGCCAGGCTAGAAAATGGATTTCAATTATGACACCTGTGCCACGGAAGACACCCAGACCTCTTCTGTGGTATGTGGCAGAGCGCAGGTGTAGGATAAAAGTGTGAAATTACACTGTTAAACTGTGTCGTAGATGTTGCTCTTTGTAGCTACCCTATTTTGTTTTATATTGCAGTGCATTAATTGGTTTCTAGAGTTTACACAAGCTCATATTACATGCAGAATATAATCTCAATTGAAGAACATTTCTGAAATGCTGCAGTATTGTAACTATAATTATTTTGTGGCATTCCCGTTCTTGAGCTTTCTTAATTCTATTCAGAGTATCTTTGTGTTTATGGGTATGTGTGTCTACATGTGTACTAATGACTGATTTTGTAGTTTATTACCTAGTATACTCTCCTTACAAAGGTGGTGTAGTATTTTTGATGCAACTGACTGTTTATAAATAAAAAGCTTATTTTCATTTCATGCTGTGGCAAGTTTAAAAGGGTAATTTGCTTTGCTTGCAGCCCTGGACGTTCTCCCGCCTGCTGTGACCATGAAATAATTATGATGAACCATGTCTACAAAGAAAGGTTCCCAAAGGTAATGAATTGAATTTAAGATGCCTAGCGTCGAAACGAACAGGCAACATAGGTCTAGAGTGTGTAAGGTGGTTTTGTTATGGGAAGTAATGAGTTGCATAAAACAGCACCATAGCCTTCTTAGAAAGGTAAAACAACTAAAAAAAATGTAAACTAACAACTGCTGAGAACTAGCCATTCTGTACTCTGCACTGGCTTTAGAGTGAGTTTAGCTGGTGTGGCCACACCCTGGGGGGCTTGGTGAGGTGCTGCGGGGATGGTCTGCTTTGAAAGGCCTGGAGACTTCAAGTTCCTCATGCCCACGTTCTGGGCTGCTTGTCAAGCAGAGACTGCTGTTCTCCCTCAAAGCCTGGATTGATGTGTCATGAAAGTTGTTTTTTTCTGTGTTTCTTTTTACTTTTACACCTCATTTTTCTTTGCTGTGATTTCCTATCTCTCCAGCCATTGTACCTCAACCCTTATTCATTTAGAAGGGAAGACACAGTTGCAGCATTCCCCAGTTAGACGGGTAGAAGGAATTCGAATTGAGCCAGGGAGCGATTTGTGAAGAGTTGTTGCCAAACCCCTGGCTGCAACCATGGTGCCCCTGACCTCACCTCGTTTCCCCATCTTTCCCGCCAAAGTGTTTCCCCAGACTTTGGAGAAGGCGACCTCTCTGCGTTCTCCCCCACTACCTTTGTTACCCTAAGCAAGAAAACAAAAGGAAATCTTTGGTTTCATAAATCAGGAGTAGAGTACTTATTATTTGTAATGAACCCAACATTGATGTCATCGATTGCAGCTGTTTTAGCTATTTATCACATGCCACTTGCTCACTCTAGGGAAGCAGGTACTGACTGTCACTAGTTAACGCAGGGCAGGATGTGAGAGGGGGACAGGAGGAAGACGGAGCCTCCCTGCATATGTAATTAACTTAAGCAAGGAGCATTGATTAGGCAGTAGGTGATCAGAGAGAGTGAAAGTTGGAAAGGAAATTTCAGATTTATTTTACCAAGGGAATCCCCTTGGCCTTTTGCACATGATGATGCGTTTTGAGAAAACAATGAGGATGGTGTAAGATGCGGGCTCCTGGCACATTAAAACCGAGTCAAGAAGACAAACTTTTGGCTCACCCTTTGGAACTCTAGCAACAATCCTGATTTTTGAGTTTAGTAAAAACATAAAGAAATATTTGATATTTTTGACAATCTGTGTCTGAAAGAGCCCAAGATCTAAAAGGAAAGCATGGCAATTCACAGATGTCATTGGAGTTATTTGAAGCAGCTTCCATGGACCATTTAACATTTGATACGACATAGGAAAAAGGGTAGCATTGCTCTGAAATACTCATTTTCACTTTGTACCTCAACTCTCTATTCCACATAGTGAGGCTGCTGCTTTTTAAAGTAAACTTTATCTTTCAGAGCACTTTTAGCTTCACAGCAAAACGGAGTGGAAGGTACAGAAATTTCCTGTGTACCCTTTGCTCCACACAGGGACAGCCTCCCCCACTGTCAGCACCCCCCAAGAGTGGTACGTTGGTTGCAGTTGATGAACCCACGTTGACACTTCATTATCACCCACGGTTCACAGTTACATTGGGATTCACTCTTGGCGTTGTACATTGAATGGCTTTGGACAAATGTATAATGACCATTTGTGCACCTTATTGTATCACAGAGATGTGAGGATTCTTTTTATTATAATTTCTAGAATTCTATTTAACAACTTGTAAAGGTCTCTGAAAATGTTAGATAAAGGAGGTGTGTTTCCTTGTATTATACCTGCATATGTGTGTCTTCTCTAAATAGGCTACAGCTCAGATGGAAGAACGTCTAAAAGAAATTATCACCAGCTACTCTCCTGACAACGTTCTTCCCCTAGCAGATGGGGTGCTTAGTTTCACTCACCATCAGATTATTGAACTGGCTCGAGATTGCTTGGATAAATCCCACCAGGGTCTCATCACCTCGCGATACTTCCTTGAATTACAGCACAAATTAGATAAATTGCTACAGGAGGTAAGAGCCACACACCATATAAAGTTTCCTGATTGGTTTTGCTTTTCTCCTGAAAAAAAAAAAAATATATATATATATTTTTTAAGTAATTTGCTTACAAGTTATAACCATGAGAATGGAATTCACATTCTAGGAAAGTAAGGAAAAAGCAAAAATACCTACCTGGTTGCTACTTGCTGTGAATTGATTCTGGTCATTACTTATAGTAATAGAAAATTAATGTAATAACCTTTACAGGAACCTTGGGACCTGACAGTCTATGACTCTAGGATAAGTGGATTGGGAAGGATTTTGAAGCAGTGATTTTTTTTTCCCTCTTAACCATAAAGTTATAAATTGCCTGAGCATATGTGTGTTATTTGATGATGCTATCTAGTTGTAATGTCTGAAAAAACTAAATGGAAAATTGCTGGCTTCTCTCAGGCTATGTATTCTATTAATTAACCTGCATGTGGTGTTGGGTAGTAAATGGCAACTTATATTTTCATTAACATCAGTTCTTCTAACAAAATATCCAATTCTAAAATAACAGATAAACACAGGACCTGTCTGGGCCTAACACTTGCATGCCTAGCTCCAGACAACACCCAGGACAGGGAGGGAGCGGGTATAGGGGAATGGAATGAGTGCCTAACAGTGCCTTTCTCACTGAAATTGACCAGCCACAGGCAACAAGCAAAACCTGTTTAGCCTCTGTACTTGGATATATTGCATTTCTGTATCTCATAGGGCATAAATTATGCCCATGTAAACATAATCATAGGTGGTTTTCCTAAGCATGAATATACAAATAATTGCATAGAACTAAAGGAAAATACTAGCATCCTAATTTTCAAGAAATCCACCTGTCCTTATCCCTACCAAATTTAGTTATAGCAAGATAGGATCCTGCTCTGGCTAGCAGCCCTATTTTTCTTCCTTTTCCCATCCAAACTTTCTGTTCTCTGTCCCTGTTTCACATTGCAACCTACTGCAGTCTACTAAACCAGTGCCTCTCACACTGTCTTTGGGGGTAAACACATTGTTTTAGGGTTTTGTTTTTATTTCTAATTTGGTATAGACCACTTCTCTCCCATAAATTAAAATGACATGAGTTTTAGAGGAAAATGATCATTTACTTGGGTGTCCTGGCCATGTAAACTTGCTATAAAAGTCACTAAATCCTTATGCTCCATAATTGTACTTGTCACACTCTGAGATCAAACGGGTTGTGGGGTTGGTGCTAGTCTGTGGACCGCACTCCGAGGAGCACTACAGTTGCGTGTTAAGTCTCTGTGGGCTTTGTGGACTACGTCTGCTTTCACCTAGGATGGTGTGTGACTCCAATATTTGTTGAATAAATGGCTAATGACCCCCTCTCACTAAACTCACTGATGTCCTTCTCACTGTCATATCCACTGGGCATTTTATTGGGATGTTATCGAATTCTTCCCCCTTTTAATATATTTTCTTATCCTTGGTGCCCCTCTGACCATTTCTTGCTTGCCTCTTCCAAGGGTTTCTCCTCCCACTCATGTTTTCTGCAAGTTTTCCCATCTTGGATCCACTGCTCCCCCTCTCTCCTGGTGACCTTGTTGGCTGTCTTGTATTAAAATCCTGTGGACTCTAATGGCCTCCAATCCATATCTCAGGCCGGCAACCCTCTCTCAGATTTCAGATTCACTTGCCTGCCTGCCTACTAAATACCTTTCCACCTGAGGGCCTGCTGAAACAGACCCCACCTGTCTAAAACTAGACTCGGCATTTCCTCAACCACACCTGCCTCTCCTGCGTTCTTTGCTCTGTCCTTGGCACCACCATCTGTCCGATCATCTGCTAGAACTCTGAGTCATACTAGACTCCTTCCTTCCCTTCAGCACGCAACTGCTGCTAGAACTTCACGGTTTAGCTGCTAGAACTTCACGGTGTACTACCTCAATACTTCTGCAACTCTTTCCTCCTGTTCTGTAACCACTACCTAGCTCAGACCCTCCTCCTCACTGGTCTGCCTCCCTCCAGTCCTAACTCCACAAATCCACACTTCCACGTAGCAACCAGAGTATCTAACACTCTTCGGTGACTCCATTCTGCCTACAGGTAAAAACCATAACATGGCCTGTGGCTGTGCCCTCCCTCTCAGTGCATGTAGCCACAAAGCATCGTAATGACCTCTGTGGGTCTCTCTTCACCAGCAGGCAGTGGGCTCTGAGGGACAGCAGTCATCTCCAGCTCCCTGGTCCCTCGCTCAGTGCCTGGTGTTTGTCGGTTCCTCAGTAACTACAGAAGGGAGGGAGGAAGCCAGAAAACGCATAGGTATGCGTGCCTATGTATTTGATCTGTTATGATGTATCATCAAGTAATCTAATTCTGCTGTTGGATTTTCATCAAATCAGCTTCCAGAAAATGCTGGAAAACACTATGCATATTACTATTTGTGAGAATACCTTGAAAATTATGCTTGTTAAATGATGCACTTTTGAACAGAAGAGATAGGAGGAACCCTGTATTCAGCCTCTGTGAGATTCTCCTCTCTTAATTCTACAATTCTGCCCCAAGATATTACCATAATTACCAGTTTAGTCCTGTGTTTTTCATTCCTTCATAGGCATTCCCTGAAAAGGGTAGAATTGATATCCAAAGCTATTTGCACTGAAAACCCTCACTTAATTTCATTTCTGTGTGACAGACTTGGCAGATTGCTTCATGGCAATTAGAAAATAAACTTAGGGTTTCAAAGGTCATGTGAATGGACTATATAGTAGATGAAAAATTATCAATTTTTAGAGAAATTTCTCTTCTGGCCAGAGAAACATGTATACTTGTGGCATAAACATCATTCTTGGCAGGAATAAGAATGTTTTCTTGTTTATCTTCATACAAAAAGTTTCCTTCAGTCCGTTGTAAAAATCAAAGCTACTTTCATTACCACATTTACAGTGTCCTTCCAGAGCTTAGAGCGAATCTGTTGCAGGGGAACTTGCCCCTTTTAGATAAAGGTGGATTGTAGGAACTTGCCTTGGTTTTCCTATCATGCAGTTGTGAGTCCCCAGCTGCTATAGTCTGTGCCGGGTGGGCCTAGCTCCCTGCCGTGTTTCTCATTTTCTGTCCTTTGCATAAACCCAGGCAAGGTCCCCATAAGGTTTGAACAGCTTGATTTAAGTAATGCTTTTGTGAAGTCCTGAGATCTAGGACAATTACAAATGCATGCTCTTATGTTCGCGTTCTTTTTTTCACTTAGGTGTATTTAGCCAATGGAAATACACAGGAAGCTCTAACCTACTCTTAAATTTGGGTCTTGATATTTTTTATTAGTGGCCAACACTTAAAATACAGACACAAGACATCCATTACTGTTCCCCCTTTGGAGCTTGCTGGTAGCAACCAGGAAACTATTTATCTTCTCAGGCTAATTGTATAATTTTATTTGGTGGTGTTCTAAAAAAGCTTTTCCTCTCCCCTTAATGTTAGTAGATAAAATATTATTTAAGTAACTCGTATGTTTTGGCCTTGGTTGTGGCTGATGATTCTTACAAGGAATAACTTGTAATGAACTGATCATTGTTATGATTTTTGAAATAGAATTTAATCTTAACTGAATCCTTTAGTTTTTTAAGATATAAAGTTCTCATATCCCTTTTCAAGAGACCACCATAATATGCCCAAAATAAAAGATTTTCTTTATATTCCTGAATGTATAAAGCAGTAATTATTATAATAAGAAGAAACTTCAGTTGGTATTCAGCCATACTTGTCAACTACAAAGTTAGGTGGTTTTTTTGCTTCCTGTTTAAGATTTTCTGTTTAATTTGATTAAGGATAAACTATAAAGAAGACAAGACATATCACCATATTTCTTGGCATTCATTGCATCTTCCAAAATTTATTTTTCTTGGAAAGCAAAAAGTGGGAAGAAAATTTAAAGGCACTTTCAATATTTGAGATGTGTGTTTGTATATGTATATGTGTCCTTATATATGACCTAGCATCCTTACTGGTTACTAGGACCTATGGTTATAGTTACTAGTTGGTTTTCTTTGAACATATTCTATTCCACAATTATTCACCAATGGTCATTTTTCCTGTGTTTTTGTTTTTTTTTTTAATTTTAAATATTTGCTGTTTTGCTTTATCCTGTAAGTGGTTTCTGTTACCTGTATTTTGGAAAATGGCCTTTGATTTGATGGCTTAAATTCAATAGATATATCACTGCTAAATACAATCATTTTTGTAAATTTGGTCTGCCAGTTCTTTTCATGGGGGGAGGGGACTGGTCCTTGTGATAAAAGCACCTTCAAGAATGATTGTAAATGTTTACTACTGTGTCTATGAAATCATACTGTACCAGCATCACCTTCATATGTTGTTTTTCTTAAATCCTTAGAAAACAGTAAATCATAAAAACTTAAAAGTTAAGAAAGCCTAAAAGTAAACATATATATTAATAGAAGTTTACATTAAAACTTCTAAAACTTTTGATTTCTGTCTGCTTTGATATAGATTTACCTGATTCCTTCAAGAAAATATCATTTAAAATTTACATGACTATTAACAAACAGCTTTGCTGTCAATATTGTTTGTGCTTAAGCAATATGTAAAATAAAATTTAAAAAGATTGTAGGTCAGTTAAATTTTACTGAGTTGAGTGCCCAGTTATTATTTATGCAGTGTGTGAAATTGAATTCATATGTATATATCTAAGTAAGGTTGAGCACCCAAAATCCAAAATGCTCCAAATCTGAAACTTATTAAGCACTGACAGGATGCTACAGTGGAAAATCCCACATCTGACGTCATGTGACAGGTGCACAAAATTATTAAAAATATTATATAAATTTACCTTCAAACTATGTGTACAAAGTGTACATGAAACATAAATGAATTTATTGTGTAGACTTGGGTCCCATCCCCAAGCTATATCATTATGTATATGCAAATATTCCAAAATCCAAAACAAAGCAAAAATGCTCTGTCCCAAGCATTTTAGATAAGGGATGCTCAACCTGCATAATATTATCCAGCTAACATTAGAAATAAGCATTTCACATTTTTTACATGTGACGAAACAACTAATTTATAGGCTAATTGTATCATATATGGTAAATATATTTCAGGAATGTATCAAATGTCCAGCATAACAAAGGTAATCCGTCACTATGTTAGCCATTACGTATATCTCAGATGTTACATCTGGAAAATTAAGGTTCTTAGTCAGCTTCCACCCTGCTTGTACCATTACTTAATGTGTCATAAACTTTTAATATCTCCTTCATTTGTGGTTCACATTAAGAGCCCTTACATTTGATTTTTAACATAGATAATAAATCAAAGTTTTGCAATTAAGGGTTTAGCTAATAGAGGTCTTTTGTAGATATAGACATTTAATAGTGTCCATTTATGTTCAGATAATGCCTGTTTATCAATCTTTTCAGAGTATTTTCTGAATCACTCAATTTTTTAATATTTGCAGTTATCTAATTAGCATGCTTTGCTGATTTTTTTTTTCCCCATTACTGGAGCAACTCTGTATCATCCTTCTTTTCATTGCCTTTTCATAGGCTCATGATCGTTCAGAAAGTGGAGAGTTGGCATTTATTAAACAGCTAGTCCGAAAGATCCTAATTGTTATTGCCCGCCCTGCTCGGTTATTAGAGTGCCTGGTAAGTTGCTATTAGATGTGACTACATTATTTATTGTTAACTGTGGGAAAGCAGTAACCATCAGAAAGCTCATTTCATTTGGTTTCAAACACCAGAGCTAAATGGGAAGAGAGGAGGAACTGCAACTTGTGAATGTTTATAATGACATCCATGTATGATTTGTCTTTTCTTACTTTAAGAAAGAATTCTAGGACTGGTGCTGTATTAAGTGATAGTCATATCACATTCTAGTCAACCTTGAAAGATCATCATGAAATAATGTGCTTGACCTTATCTCAGCATAATTACTTTATGTCACAGCTAATTTAAAATGCCGGCTGTGAGTCACATGTTTGGAGTTGCCAAGATGCAGAGAGGGAAATCAGAGAAAAATAGTGACCTGTAATTATAATTATTAATTGTTTTTAAAATGGGGGATGTTAGAAAATCAGTGCTGGTTAGCAACCCGTTTGGGAAAATACAATAGAGCCTCATCTAGATTAGTTCGTTTTAACAATTATATTTTTTTGGCCAGTGGTAATTTCCCTGTTTTAAAATTTTTGTTTTATTTGATTGAGATTTTAATCAAAACTATGAACAAATATAAAGCTTTGAACTTGGGAATTACTTTAAGGGGCTGTTAATATAGCATTAAAACTCACTTTTAAGTTCCACTAGCCATTAACATAATTATAACGCCATGTACAATACAGCTTTTCAGAAATACACACATACATAATACATATGTGGTTGTAGTGCTTTGGTTTTGCCCTTATTTTAATTAACATTCATAAAGTTTTATAATCGTGTAATATTTATAGCCCCATAAACATATGTCAGTGTATAGTGAGACACAGCAGAGGGAAAATCTTGAGAAAGGTCAGGAGTAGAGGGGTGGGGGAGGGCTTTCCATCAGTGGTGAGGACCCTTAGAACCACAGAATCAAATATACCATTTGGCATTGAGTGTCTCTGGAAGAAAAGAAAGGGAAAAAAATACATTGGATACCTCTAGGGAAGGGCTGGGTAACTGGTGAACCCGGTAGAAGGAGGGCTTAACTTTTTCCTACTTCTCCTGTTGTGGCTTTTGAATTATGCACTCTGTGTTTGTACTTCCTGCAATTGTTTAATTTAGGGGAAAATGTCATTTAGCATTAAAACTTGTTTTTCTGGACAACAGATATGCTAAGAGCAGACCTTGACTTAAAGGGGAAATAATTTCTGGTTTGTTTTTTTTTAGCAGTAATCACTCATAATTAGAAGAGAAAAACTAAAAATATATCCTCTCAAAGATAGAAACAAGTGACCTTAGAAATACCTTGGGAATGTTGCTGCTTTCAGTACTGTGTAAAGCTCAGGTGAACTGGAGTTTCAGACTATTAGGGGATGTTTCCCCAAACTGTCATCTAATGTCTACGGTTCCCAGGCTTGCTCCATCAGTCCATGTGACTTTGTGTAAAGGGCACTGAGTGTTTACGTTGGTTTGGCTTTGCTCTGCTTGCAGCGAGCTTTTTTATGTGGCCTTTAGAAATTCTTGAGTAATTCTTAGGTGAAATGCTGAGATTCCAAAGTTGCCTATTTTAGGCATTAATCAGAAAGGGGAAGATGCTGGGGAAAAATTAGGAAATATAACTGAAAATAGCAACTATGCTTTAAATCTGTAAGCATAATTGTTTACAACACATAAATCATGACGTCTCTGTGGGTATAGGGGAAACACCAAACTCAGTTTCTCCTACTATATTCTCACAACACACTTCTGACACCAGTTGTATAGGAACCTCACACATAAGCAAGCAAGCAATTCTGTAGCAGATACTAGCTGAGTGCCCTCCAGTTGTATTCCAACACTATCTGCCTGGAGATAGCTTCAGATCCTACAGGTTGAGGGCTCAGTCTTACAAGACTGCCTCCCACTTCCTATGCTAATCACAAGACCCAGGTTTTACCTGTACTTCTGACCAACTGGCTATAAATTGGGGTTACCATAACCCTCTCCTTGAGTTCAGTTAATTTGCTAGAGTGGCTCACCAAACTCAAGGAAATACTGATGTTTACCAGTTAATTATAAAAGGATACAAATGAAGAGATGCATAAGGCGAGGTATGGGGAAGGGGTGGGGAGCTCCCATGCTCTTTCTGGGTATGCCACCCTCCAGGAACTTCCCCATGTGATATCTGGAAGCTCCCCAAACCCAGCTCTTTTGGATTTTTATGGACACTTCATTAGGTAGACATAATTGATTACAGCATTGGCCATTCGTGATCAACTTGGCCTTCAACCTTTCTCTGAAGGTGAGGGTGGTGCTGAAACTCTCAACCCTCTAATCACATGGTTGGTTCCCCTGACAACCAACCCCCATCTGGAAGCTTTCCTAGAGTCCCTAACCACAAGTCAACTCAGTAGCATAAAGGCATTAATTACCACTTTGAAGATTCCAAAGGTTTTAGGAGTAGGATAGGCATGAAGACCAAAAATATATTTCATAATATCACAGCATCTAACTAGAGTGATGCCATCCTGAAGATTTTTATTGCATACTAAAAGCAACAGACAGCCAGAAAAAAATAAATAAAATACATACGAAAAATGTTTTCCCAAAGTTTTATAGAAGACAGAGGTAATTGGTAGCTTTAATATCCTGTTTTTCTTTCTTAATCTGTACATTATGTGACTATTGGTATCTTAATTTTAGAGTTAACTAATAAAAATTATGATTTGAAGTTTTCTTTCTAATAATTTTGGACACCTCTGTATTAAGGGAGGTTTCTTTAAAAACCTTTGAGTAAATGTATTCTAACATTACTCCTTTTGTGACTGGTTGTGCAGAGAAAGAAAATGAATCTCAAATCTTCTGCATGGAAATTCCCAGATTTTAAAAGTTTGCTAAAAAGGCACAATTAAAAATCAGACCTGTTCATTTTCAATGAAGTAGAGATCTTAAATGGATCATAGTACCTTCAGAAATACCTTCAGAGTTACGTTACAAGGGAATTGGAAACGACCATTATCTTTGGGTTACAAGTGCATAAATGTATTGGCTTAAAATATGAATAGGCTTCACATATAAAGTGAGTATTATATACTTTTTAAAGCCACTTGCCTCCTTTCTGCATAAATAGGTTGCAACCATGTATATCCAGCAGTTTTATTGTGAATGGGATTTATGTAATAAAACCTCAGACTGTTGTGGCTCAAAGAAGTATTCATCTGTGTCTTCTACTAGGAATTTGATCCCGAAGAATTTTACTACCTATTGGAAGCAGCAGAAGGCCATGCAAAAGAAGGACAGGGTATTAAAACTGACATTCCCAGGTACATCATTAGCCAGCTGGGACTCAATAAGGATCCTTTGGAAGGTGAGTACTTTGGTTGGGCTGACCTCTTACCTGCTTACGTACTATGGCCTCATGGAAGAACTTAGTGGCAAATCTTTGTTTTTCCTTGTGTTTTGGCTCTGTCTAGTGAAAGTCCATATTGGGGGACAGTTGTGATTTGAAGGAAGTAGCCACAAGTCCAGGGCAGCACATGAGCATGACCCATTTTGTGTTTACCTAGAGTATGAGGGGCAGGCCTTGAAATCATAGGCCCGTCAGCCTGAGAATGCCAGAGTGTCCCAGTAGGGTTTAGATTTCCATCTTCTCTGAGAACTTCTTCTCTTGCAAAGCTCAGTTGGGCTCTTGTTGAGAGTACTTTTAATTTAAAAAATGTTGCTAAAGAAATTATCATTAATTAAGTTGACATTTAAATTTAATTTGGGAGTAATGCAACTGATGGTAGATTACTTGAAATGCAGTTATCAGTAGGTATCTTTTTGCTTATTTGTCTCAAGACAGCATGAAAAATAGCAATCTACAAGACAGTCAATGGAAAAAAGAAATGTTTTAAAGCTTATGAAAGGATTTATGGTTGATCTAAATAAAGAAGATGTCATTATATTAAAGACAGAGAATAGGAAGCATCCTGTTAGTGGTAAATCTAATATCGGTAAACTACCCCCCTCCCCCAACCTATTCCTGTCCCTTATTGTTTGGGATTGCTATTTATAACATTTAGGTTATATACTGCCCAGAAAGACTCAGACGCTATCGTTGACTCCTTCATGTCTTCTTGGTTCATTAAATTGAATCTGCAAACAGTGTTTATCTTGCTAAGTTATTTGTAATGGTGATAAACGTGGGCACACAGATTTTCTTCTCTAAAGCTAGAGAACCTGCTGCTCTCTGCCCTGCTCTCCTGTCTTCCCTGGCTTTGTTTGCTCTTACGGCCATCATATCTTTGCTCCCAGTGAAATGATGCATGCATTACTGTGAGATAATGCCAGATAAATTTATACTGTACTGAAAGCAATACCACAACAGATTCATCACTTATCAGAGACTGGCGGCTGCTTTTCTGAAAAGTTCCCTGGGGAGAGATTTTTTTTTTCCCCATGGCTTTTAAATTACCATCTTTACCTTTTTGAATCATGAGTCTTCAGAAATGGTTTAAATCAATGAAATAAAAAGGGCAGATGTTTAATGGTATTTAGATGAGTTTTAAAAATCACTTCAGGCATTACAAAATGATGCCTTTAGCTTCCTGCTTCAAAAGCTGACTCTTGGTTCCATTCCAGTACTACCCACTGCTTACAAATAATATGTATTTCCCAGATAATAGTTATTTAGCAGAAATTCTTTTTAAAACAGAACCATCTTTTAATTTGCTTTTTTTAAAAAAAATGAAAATAATTGCAGTGGAGAAAGCTGTCAAAGTATATTAAAGTGACTCTTCACATCAGTATAGTGAAGATTGTATCAGCCTTCGAATGGTAGTGCAAATGAGTTGTTTACAATTTCCTCACATTGCAGTAGGTATTACTGTAGGATGAACTTTGGTAGGTGAATGCTCTGAGGACCATTTATACACTTTTATAGAGGCTTTAAAAAATTAATAATCTTTGACAAGTTTGGAGTCTAGTAATATAAATTAATAACTGGGAGTTATGGGGTTTTTTTAATTCTTGATATTTAATTTTCTTAATTCAGATCTTAATTTTCTTAATTCTTGATATTTAATTTTCTTAATTCAGATCTATGTGTTAACACTTAAAATGTGACTTCTCCAGGTAATTAAATAAACGATCACAAGTCCTGATTAATCTATATTTGTTTCCCTTTCTTGTCAACATCTAAACCAGCATACCTAAAGCCTGTCCTTTGGGGGTTGGGCTCTAGAGCGACTACCCAGGACTACCCTCTGGAGCCAGCACTGTGGCTGTGCAACCTTGACCATCCAGTCCATGAGCCTCTTTGTGCCTCGGTTGCTCCCATAAAAATAAGATAATAATCATAATACCTATTTGTTGGATTGTTTTGGGGATAATATGGGTTAATCTCTGTAATTGTTTATAGTAATTGCTTAATAAGTGTTAGCTGCTATTTCTGTTTTATTTAAACACTACTAAAGTTTGCCCCTTTGCTCAAGAGCCCTTCCACCTGACTATATTTTAGTTCACCTCCAAGTCCATAAATCTAAGGTACCAGTCACATTGAATATCGGCATCATTTGACACCAAGAAAGTACATAGTTTGAGCTAAGTTCATTTTTATTCTGCAATTTGCCCTATAGGTAAACTGGGAAAGTTAGTGTCAATGTTCAGTTATTTCATAATCTAGACTTTGTAAATTTTTTAATCTAAAGTTAACATTCTAATGTTGTTTTGCTTCATCTCTCTCATGTATAATCTCTACTCTAAAAAGATGATTATATTTATGAAAACATGAATACATGGACTAAGAGCCTAACAAATAATTTATATGAATACGAAAATATGTAGGAAAAACTATAACTTTTTATTATACATGTTCAGTTTTGAAAAGTTAGAAAGTGCAAGTAACAGAAGAAAATACTAATATCACTCAGATGACATCCATCAAAAGTTTTAGAATTCTTTCATGTTCTTTTTTTTTATAAACCATGATTTTTTAATTTAAAGAAGTATAAAAATTAAAATCAACAGTAAAGGAATTAGGTTTTCTTATTATATAAACTTAAGGATGTGTTCTAAAGTGTGCTGAACAATTAGACGCCCTTGTCTCTTTTAACTAGACCACGGAGTAGTACTTAAGCTGGTGTCTAGCATGTAGCATCCAGCCCAGGATTGACTATTTTACCCAATATAGTTAATTAATAATCAACATTTAATGAGCACTCAGTTTTTGTTAGGGAACATGCTAAGAGTTTGTGTGCATTATAATATAGAGTATTCATAAAAATCTCTAAGGGATAAGTAATATTTTTCCCATTTTACTGGGGAAGAGCCTGAAGTTAAAAGGGCACTCAGCTTGTGAGTGCTCATAGCGGTAGTAACCCCAGTCTTTTCATCTCTAAATCCCTCTTAACCATCCTATTACTTCCTTCCTGACAAATGTCACAGCCTCAGTATACTTGGCAGGATGTTTCTCTGTGGATGTGAAGGGATGGAACGAGATGCTCATTACAACTTGAGCGTCATCTCTGAGTAGTAGTCAGTCCTCCTTTGATGCCCATCAGAGCCTGGGAAGATGCCTTTGTTGGATATCTGACTACAAGCAGAGTTGCTGACCCGCCAAACCCAATCCAAGCTGTGATGATTGCATCAGCCAGTGAATCCTGCTAGCTGGAGCAGAGACCAAGTCTCTAAAGTTCCTCTGTCTGGGTGTTCATAGGAAATGGGGTTCCAGAGATTCGCAAGAGCTCCATGGGAAGAGCATTAGGCTGAAGAAATGGGCTTCTATGTTAGGATGTGTAATGAACAGTTTCAAAATATCAGGTGCTGGTTCTTGCCATTTTGGATTTAAGATTTTCCCATGGGCACATTGGAGTATAAAGTTTTTTTTTCAATATTGAAGAAATTATTTTTCTTTTGTTTTAGCTTAGTACTCTTGTCTAATTGCAATGTTTTCCTTAAACTTTATTTTTTTTTTAACTTAGAAATGGCTCAGTTAGGAAACTATGATAGTGGGACAGCAGAAACACCAGAAACGGATGAATCAGTAAGTGTAAGTATCTTTCTTGATGAAACATGATGTTGGTTTTAATGTTTGTTAGCATCCAGAGACTTTGGCTATGTTATTTTTCTTATTTGTTCAAGAAAAACTATGTGCAAGGCATTGTGCCAGGCATTAGAGATACAATTTGAGTCCTTCCCTTCAAAAAGAAACAGAAGTTAATAAAAAGAAATCACACACAAAAATAGAAGTGCTAAACATGAATAAGATCTATGGGGGTAAAAATGACCACGTGGAACTAGTACATAACATAAAGCACTTTGCCTTTGTCCAGTCCTAAAATATTTCTCAAGAAAATGGTACTTGAGCTGAAATATAAGAAATTACTAGGATAAGAAGGGACAGAGGCCGGGCACAGCGGCTCATGCCTGTAATCCTAACACTTTGAGAGGCTGAGGCAGGAAGATTGCTTGAGGTTAGGAGTTCAAGACGAGCCCGAGCTATACAGCAAGACTCTGTCTCTACAAAAAATGGAAAAATTAGCGAGGTGTGGTGGCGGATGCCTGTAGTCCCAGCTATTTGGTATTTGGGAGGCTGAGGCAGGAGAATTGCCTGAGCCCAGGAGTTTGAGGTTGCTGTGAGCTGTGCTGACACCACTGTACACCAGCCCAGGCAACAGACTGAGAACCTGTCTCAAAAAAAATAAATAAAAGTTCATGTTTATTGGCTTTTCTTGCTTTATTTTTTAAGGGTAATGGGAAGCAACTGAGCTTTGGAGGAAGCATATGGGTATGTGGGGGTGGGTGGAGTAGGCAGGGAGGTGACCCAATCAGAGTTATGGCTTGAAAGAAATCACAGTGACTTTAGTGTAGAAAGCAGACACAGTTGGGGGAGCAGGTAGGGGAGATCCTGCGCAAGCCAGTTAAGAGGCTGCTGCAGTGGCACTGGTGAGAGGCCCTGGATGCTGGCACTGGTCTCTCTCTCTCAACACCAAAAGAGGAACTCAGGTGAAGCAGGTGAGATGTGGTCAGGAAATCGAGAGCAGGCTAGGTAGCCTGGAGGCTAAGAACCCAAGCTTTGGAGTCACAATGCCTGGATTTGAAAACCATCTCTACCTCTCACTGGTGGGAGGAGGAGATCTCTGTGCCTCAGTTTCCCCATATGTAAAATAGATATAAAATACATAGAATATCTCATTTAATATTTTATGTAAAATGGTTAGGACAGGACCGCATATTAAATGCTAAGTAAACCATAGCTATTTTTGTTAATTTTATTATCATAATATTATAATTTTGAATGTGCTGAGATTGAAGTTCCTTTGAAACATGCAAGAAGAGGTATCAAATTGGCAGTTGTGTATGAGGTCAGACATCTTGCATGCAATGGGAGAGTTTCTGGTGAAGATGTAAGTGACTTAGGAGTCATCCATGGACACAAATGAGATCACTTAGGTAGGGAAGAGTTAGAGACAAGAGGGCCTTCCTTGTACAGAGCCATGCAGCCTAAAGCCATGAAACAGCAGTAAGGGTGGGAGTGGTTTGAAGCAGAAGTAGTCCCGGTTTTTAATTATATTTTCCCTGGATGGATCATATGCAGATGATGACTAGATCCAGAGCCTATGGCTGAAGGCCAGGGGGAAGTAGAAGGGACAAATGTTTGAGCTGAAGAGATCAGGTAGACTGGAGGCCTGAGTGTTGGGCGCATTATCTATGTGAACACAGAAGTCACTCTGGATGGCAAGAGAACTCGGGCAGAGAGGAAAGTGGGTGCCCGAGTCTTCCAAAGATGAGTGGGACGACAGGGTCAGCGATGACAGCACTGTTGGGGGCGGACAGCACCCACTGCAAAGTTACGGGGTTTCTTCCAAACAATGGCAAAGGAATTCCAGACTCTGCAGAGGGGAGCAAAGAAGCTGTTAACATCCTCTCAATGCTAAGATAAATGGGGCATGAAAGATTGTTTTTATTAAAAAGCACTTTGTTTATTCTTGCTGTTTGAACTAAATTTTTTAAATTGAGCCATCTCTTTGGAAATGGTTATCTAAACCACAGTAAGATTTCTGCAATGGAGGTAAAAGAAAGGCAGGCGTTCTACACTTGGGTGTTCCATGTGTTGCCCACTGCTTTTCCAAACAAGAAAGGGCGCCGCAGGCGTGAGACACGTCTGCCCAGCCCCGGGTGCAGCCCATTCTCTTCTGGCTGACTGAAACCGTGGGAAGGTTTGGCATTTTGAACTTACATCCCAAAATGTTAAAAGACCTAGGACAAGGCCAACTTGAGTAGTGTTTACAGGGGGAAATTAAAATCAGGAAATCTTCTTTGATCTCCTGGAAATGTGGGTTCACTGAAATGCAACTGAGACGATGCCACGAGGAGCAGTTTATCAGCACTGCTGTGGCAGATTGATCTTCAGAGCTGTCCCCAGGCTCCCTTGGCAAGGATACTGTACATAGGGTCAGCATGTTAAACAACACAGTCTGTCATTCAGCTATTATCTATTGTGCTGATAAAATAATTCTCTCAAATTCCGAATTGCTTTTTAACTTCCATATTTTGTTTCCAAGAGCTCTACTGCTTCCCTGAAACTTCGAAGGAAACCTCGGGAAAGTGATTTTGAAACGATTAAATTGATCAGCAATGGAGCCTATGGGTGAGTAATTCAAGAAAAGCTCTCCTATTATATTTTAACACACCTGAATAATATATTTATTCTTCACATTTATCTTATGGCAAATGCATATTGTGTAGGGACTTGGACTTTTCAGATCACTGCTCCTCCTCTGAGAGGTGCAAGGTGCACCTAAAATCACTCCTTATTGGATATCTCATCAGAAGACATATCAAGTGACCTAGAAGTTATTTTAGAGGATTGGAGAGAAAGACTTTAAAGGAAAAATCTGATATATTCTTATTTCTACCCCCTTCATTCTGCCCTTTTGGGTTCAGAAGTATTCAACTCTTTTCTTTGTTGATATACATATATATTTCACATATATATATATATATTCACACACAACACACCATATTATATGTTATTATGTGTGTAATTTTATATATAGCAATGCTTCTTGAGAATTAGCCTGTATTTCCTGTTTGACCAACAGTAAACCTTATGAGAAAAGTATTTAAATAAGGGTGGCTGAAAATTTAAAGCAATACATTTCTTTTAGTTTTTATATATACCAGGCTTTTAAAACTTGAACTCATACTTCTGTAGCAAAACCCCAAAAAAAAAATAAATAAATAAAACTTGAACTCTGCACTATAATCTAATCACATTAGTGGTGCTTCTTCCTCGATCCATTTTTGTAGACAATTTCCTTCTCATGGCATAGGGAGAAGAATGACAAGATTCTTCTGAGTCACTAATAGTTTGGAAGGGTATTTAATGACTCACTATAACCTGATCTATTTCAGACAGCTCAAGAATTCTAGTTTAATTAAGTATTAATCTCAATTCCATCTATATATGGAGAGCAATAAATAATCTCATAGACATTTATTGCCATTTATCACACACATGGGCAGATAAAATAAAAGCGATTTTTGTTGTGCCACAAGGGATCTTTCTCTTTACTATTAAACATTTTTTCACCTCTAAAATTTTCCACACCATTAACCCAGTGAAGAACTTAAATATTTGTGAGTCCTTTATATGCTTCGCTGATTTGTTTTCAGGATCTGTCAAATGCTGTATTTCTTGATGTGGCTTATAAATGCTTTCTGATGTACTTTTGCAATATATTATTTCCTTCAAGGACCTCATTGAAGCTTTTCTACCTAGGGAGATTGTTCTAGCATGCAATTATTTGTGATTTTTATTTGTTTACCATTTGTTTCTTAGTTCTTTATACTTTTAGAGATGATCTGAGGATTTCTTTCTTCATTGGGGAAGACTAACCGTTGGTTTGATGGGTGTGTAGGTTTGAGCTCTGCTAGATTTTATTGGCGGTGGAATTCTGGAATAAGATGAACTGTGAGGCACCACTCTTAAAAGACTTGGGTGTGTATCTTCACAGTGTTTGGAGTTCTAACTGGTTGAGTAAACTCATTTGTAGTGCAATTAAACCACTGTATAGTAGATGAGGTATATCACACTTTGGGGAACGGTTGGGAATATACAAGAAGTTAAACAAGCTGTGAATCAGTAAACACCCAGGATGCAGGCCAAGTCAGTTAACGGGCTCACAGGCTGCCTGTGAGAGCCTCTGCCGATCCATCAGCCAAGAGTTTTTTTTTTTTTTTCCTCTCTTTTTTTGCTCTTCTCAGGTTTAATCTCTCATTATAATTCTGACAGATTTCCTCTACATTTTAATAATCTTTAATTTGCAGTTGGAATGGAGCTACCCTCATTGGTTCATCCCCCAGTCAAGATGCTGATTGCAGGCTTATGTGAACTGGCTGAACTAATGGATCCCTCTGTGGGTGGATGAACGGGCTGTTAGAAGCTTTCTTAGAAACCTGTGCAGCAGGGTCTGCCACTCACATCAGTGGCTCAGAGAGACACTGAGTCCACGACTTCCCAGGAGTGGGTGGTGCTGAGAGCTAACCCTCTCGTTTAGGAAGGGTTTCTGACTGTCGTGCTAAACACACAATGTGGTTTTCTTAGCACCATCCTTGGTGGAAATTCATGTTATAAAGCCAGTTTGATAGACATCTGATTTCTTTCTCTGTTTAACATTTTCTGATCCCTGACTGGAAGTTAAACATCCATTTATGCCAACTTAGCACTGTACCAGTTTTGTTTCATGTGTTCCCTTCTCACAAGAGCCCAGTGTGGTAGTTGATATTATTTCCACTCACCTGTGGGGAAGGAGAGGTTCAGACACATGGTCACATTTACCTTGATTCCAAGTAGAATTCTCTTCTCTAACTAAGTAGTTTTTTGTAATCACTTGTGGCCCTCTTACTTGGGGTATACAGTCCTACTTCTTCCCTTGAGCACTTCTACTTAGATTCTTAAGTTATAACTTAGAATGTTTTCAAAGCGAAAACAAAATTGACTTAACCTTTTTAAATGTAAAAAACTATATTTTAGCCGAACACAGTGGTGCACACCTGTAGTCTCAGCTACCCAGGAGGCTAAAGCAGGGACATCCCTTGAGCCCAGGAATTTGAGGCTGCAGTGAGCTATGATACTGATTGTGCCATTGCACTCCAGCCTGGGTGACAGAGTGACCCTGTCTCTAATAATAATACTAATAATAATTTAAAAAATTAAACTAAATGCAAAACACTCACTGTTTCTCTCCCACTTTGCTTTTCTTCTTACATTTGATGCACATTATTCTCTTTTACCTCCCTGTAGCCTCTCCTCTCAGCTTTTTTCTGGCACATGTACCCCTGCAGGTCTCACCTGCAGATTTGCTAGCTCAAAGTCATGTATTGGGCTCTCAGCTTCATGCTTAATTTTATACCTGTTAGGCATTCTTGCTCCTGATTGAGCTGAATTCATTCTGCCCCAGATCCTGTCGGCTTTTAATTCTACTTCTCCCCACTCTCCCACACCCCAGTTCCATGTGGGCTCAGAGACAGCTAGGGTCCTTGGTCGCCCCTCCCCCTACATCCCTCCCACCCGTGGGTTTTCCTTTTTCACAGGGAGGTCAGTGTAGGAAGAGAGACAGAAGCAGCCTTTTCAAAGAAAGTATAAGCCCTGGGCGCCCACAAGCAGATAAATGTGGGTTTTTTGTCAGGTCAGTGTAGTTTATAACATTGGGAGATTCACAGTCTGCTTAACAGTGTTGTGTCTGTGTCAGCTGCAGGTTCTCCTGTTCTGTCCATCCCCTCCCCTCCCCTTCCCCTCCCTCCCCTCCCCTCCCCTCCCCTCCCCTCCTCCTCCCTCTCCTCCCTCCCCCTCCCCTCCTCCTCCCTCCCCTCCCTCCCTCTCCCTCCCTCCAGTAGATTTAGAACATCAACTTATAGGAAAGGAGGAAAGGTATATGTAAGAGACAATAGTTATTACTCAATAAACAAATTTCAACACAATAATAATTTTAAAGTAGTACAGAAATAGAAAAACCTAAGAACATAAAACAAAAAAACCCAGCTACACCTAATTCTCATTAGGAAGTCTAGGCCAGGCTCAGTGGCTCACACCTATAATCCTAGCACTCTGGGAGGCCAAGGCGGGTGGATTGCTCAAGGTCAGGAGTTCGAGACCAGCCTAAGCAAGAGCGAGACCCCGTCTCTACTAAAAACATAGAAAGAAGTTAGCCGGACAACTAAAATATATATAGAAAAAATTAGCCGGGCATGATGATGCATGCCTGTAGTCCCAGCTACTTGGGAGGCTAAGGCAGAAGGATTGCTTGAGAGCCCAGGAGTTTGAGGTTGCTGTGAGCTAGCTGATGCCACGGCACTCTAGCCCAGAGAACAGACTGAGACTGTCTCAAAAAGTCTAGTTGACCCAGGCAACTTGATGAAGATATGTGTGTCCTGAGGCAGTGATAGCTCAGGCCACCTATAGGGTTCATTCCGATTGGTTTCGGTCAGCTTCCCTAAGGAATAACTGTTTAAGTACATCATAGCAAGGGAAAGCGGAGAGTCAGGCCAAATTTTATGAACTGGAAATCTGAGAATAGGGATGAAAGCCATTTTTTACACAGTGCCACCGAGAGACCTAGTCAGGATGCTGGTCACATTGGGCCTGAGTCATCTTTCTCTTATTCTTCTGTAAAATCATGTACAAGTCTCTTCTTCCTCCATTTCTTACTCTCACATAATATTGCCGAGCAGTTATTTATGTATAAATGATGGTTGATTGAAAATTAAAATGGCAACTTTATGATAATGTATGAAATTCATAATATATGTCTAAGGGTTCTCAGTATTAAACTTACTCAAAATTAAATATTGAAGGAAGAGATAGGAAGTAATATATATTGCAATAATAAAAAAGAGTAAGCAAGCTATAGAAAGATACTGTTTTTTTTCTTTAACATTTTGAATTTTACATTCCATTTAAGAAATATATTCTCTATTTCAAAAACCCATTTAATGACAATATTTGTTTACCAATGCTTATCTTAGATTTAAGGGATGACCAAGTTATTTTCTGTGCTCCTTTGTGTCTGTCTAACCTCCCATCATCTAATTAGGAGTAGCTCAAGTTATCTGTAGTTTCCTGATTTTATCCAAATAGTAATTGGAAAAAGAAAAATATACTAAAAGGCTTTAATCTGATACAGAAGGACCTAGTTATTTGCTGGTTAATTAAAAAGTTGGTTAAAGTAGGAAATCATTAAAAAGAAAGATACATACTTTAAACATTTCAATTTAATCTAAATATATATAAATTTATTGGTCTTTTGGTGTAAGGCCTTTTTTAGACAGCCAGTGTAAACCATGCTGATAATACATCATTTCTGTTTTCCAGCTTTAGCTTCTTTAAAAGTGAAACAGCTTGAAGCAATCTGTATATAGGAATCTAGACTTTTATTATTTTTCAAACTTTTGGAACTCTTTTCAACCACACTAAATCAATGGGAATTTTATTTAGTATCTCACATTTACCAAGACTTTCCAAAACATTCATTTAATTTTCTTGTAAACAATAGTGCTTTTCCTTTTCACACGCATGTTACATTGGTTTAAATATTTGTTTAGTGTAGTTGAGAGGAGTGGAGTGGAGTGCGGTTAGCTTTTCACTGTACAGCGAAGGAAGAGCTAGAAAACTGAAGAAATGAGAGAGGGGAAAAAGGAGCAAAACCAAATAATAATGTTTACACAGAGACAAAAAATATAAATGTGTGCTTTGTGAAAGAAGGGAAAAGATGCATACGATGAGAAGACGCAGATAAAGGTATGCACACTTGAAAGAGAAAGCAATTCCTAGCTGAACACTTAAAGGAGAAACATTAACGCTGATTAAACTGGGATTGCGGACTCTGGAGATTTATGTCAGTGGCTCATCCTGACATACTGGTTCATCAGGAGCATGGGGATGGGTTACTCAGGGACCGTGAAATAGCTAGTGGGAAAGGCACCTCAGATCACGGGGGCCCTTGTTCAGAAGGCAGGCCACTGGGTATACTTCCCTGTGGTGGATGGCTCTTTAGGAAAATTATTTCTTGTTGGACAATTGGAGAATTCAAACTTGTTCTCCCGTGATACTGACAGGTGAGGAGGGTTTGGGAGAAGGAGCCCATCCAAGGCACTGTCCTTCCAGGTGGGCTCTTACAACTCCTCCTCTTCCTAATTACTTTTTTCCACATCATCCTGAGCCTAGAGGGGTTCCTCGTCTTTACCCAGCCATAATTGGTTCTATAAAATATTTGGGTGAGGTTTTCAGCAGAGATTGAGTGCAGCCAAGTCTGATCATAAAGTTGCCTGACATCCTGGCCGTGGGTCAGAGGGAGGAGAAATGCATTGTTGGCCCGCTTTTATGTTGGGAAATGCATTTCCTGTTGAAACGGCCATAGGGGGGTAGCACATGCTGAGGTCAGTAGTGAGGACATATGCTACCCTCTGCTGTAGGACAGCCTCATGTAATGTGTTACGTACTTCTTGTTTATCTGGAAATTTCATGGGAAGGAAATTGCTCTCATTTGGAAGCCAGATATTCCGAGGAGCTATGGTCCTTTTTGCAGATCCCAAGGGTATCATTTAGAAAATTATTGCTTTTATCAGTCGAGAAAAAGTGCTTAACATATACTAATGCTAGAAAGGATCCAGCTTATGATAGGTATGTAATTTTGTTAATTCTTTCCTGTTCTTATAATACTGGATATTGTTTTGTTTGTGAAAAAAACGGAAAACGTCAGCTGGCTATTGGAAAAAAGCTCACTTGGACGACTGTCCATTTCCTTTCCTTAGCAATGAAGATGAATCCTTGTTCATTAGCAATGAAGATGAATCCTTATTCAAAAAGATAATGCCTTATTTATGACCTGTGACCTTTACTGAAAGAATTTAAAAATCAATCCAGCCAAAGGGGCTTGCCTTGGAATGGGATGTTGGTAGCTGCCGGCATAGCTCGTGTGAGCTGAATTCCAGCTGGCGTGTGAACTTTTAAAAAGTTGATGATTACATGGTTTGCTGTATCCCCCAAACATCCATACCTTCTCTCTTCCCGTGAACGCCAATACTTGTGCTCCTTTTCCAGGGCAGTCTACTTTGTTCGGCATAAGGAATCCCGGCAGAGGTTTGCCATGAAGAAGATAAATAAGCAGAACCTCATCCTAAGAAACCAGATCCAGCAGGCCTTTGTGGAACGGGATATCCTGACTTTTGCAGAAAACCCCTTTGTTGTCAGCATGTATTGCTCCTTCGAAACAAGGCGCCACTTGTGCATGGTCATGGAATATGTGGAAGGTGAGTCAGTCTCTGACACAGGAAATGCAGCACCTATACCCAGAAATCCCTTGCTCGTTTGTGGTGTTGAAGCTTTCTGTATTTGTGCCACATAATGGCTGTATTCACCTAGGAGCTGCAGCCAGGCAATGAGATGGCTGTATTCCCAGTCATTATCTTCTGATAATTGCTTGTAAAGTGGCTGCTCTGCTATAACAAAGGGAAAATTAGTGCTATTTGGAAAAAGGTTGTTTATCTTTTTTAATAGCTTTTAATCCTACCTACCTCCCCTCAATTGGTCATTAAAGTTGGAATATAGGTGATGGGATTTTTCCTACTTATTTTTATGACATATCATAAAAGCATTCATTACAATTGGTCGTCTTAAAGAATGAATTAAAAGTATATCCTTTTCAGTATGTGGTATAAAACTAAAAATGAGTCAGGGGAAAGGAGATACATTCAAGGAAATCCAATCAGTCTTCCTGATGTTCATTTGATGTTTTTTTTTTTTTTTTTTTTAAAGAGGTTTGTGGTCTACCTTTCAAATGTTCAAGGAATCTATTTCCATCAATTTTACATAAGTTTCTGAGTGTTGAAGAGGCTGTGACTTGTTGACATAAATAAAGTTAATAAAATGAATAGATCAGCAAAGGCCAAAACAGTTTTCAGAGCATCCAACTTAAGCTCTTGTCATTGTTTGAACAGAATCCCAAAACTATAACACTCAAACAGTAGAAATCCTTTTAGTTAAAATTTTTCATTTTGCAGATGAGTGAAATGAGGTCCCAGAAAGGAAAACTTACTAGATAAGGAGTAGTAGATAAAAGACAAAAATATAACTTGCCTGGTTTCCACCCATTGTTCTTAACGCCACACCAATACTTGGCCCTAGTAACCTTCATTGTGGTCATTTTAACAACAGTAACTAACATTTATCATATTTAATGCGTGTTGGGCAATATGCTAAATTCTTCACATAGATTATCTCATCTAATCCTCACAGTAATCCTAAAAAGGCTGTCATCATTACCATCCTGCTATTGCAGAGGAAGGAACTAACTGTAGTTCGCCTGAGATCTCTCAGCCTTTAAGAGCCATCGCTAGTATTTGGACTCAGATAGCCTGACTCCAGAATCCATGTATTATGTTTTAAATTATTACCACGATCCTAAAACTGTGCTAGCATTTCTTCAACGTACAGCTCCACTTCAGAGCCAAACCTGCTCTCTTATAAATACTGCTTCTTAAATAAAAATCTGTATTTTCCCCATACCACATTTTAATTAGAAACATGATTATTTAACACACAGACTCTCCTTATGAATATGATATACTATGAGTAGAGATGACTTCACCTTGAAATTTTGCAGTCTAAACTGATGGTATTTGTTAATCCTAGCTAAGATAGCTACTAAATCTTTTCCTTGTGTTTTATAGGAGGAGATTGTGCTACCTTAATGAAAAACATGGGCCCTCTCCCTGTGGATATGGCCAGGATGTACTTTGCTGAGACGGTCTTGGCCTTGGAATATCTGCATAATTATGGAATCGTACACAGGGATTTGAAACCAGACAAGTATGTACACTGATGAAGCATGTTGTCTTTTACATAACACAAAAAACTTTCTTATGTCTGTAAGACCTTTTCCTTTTAATGCAATTTCCAATTTCCACATCTTAAAATTATTTCTTAATGTCCAAAATGAGTTGTTTTAACAGTATATGTGGTACTGTTTATATAATTCTTTAAAAGATACGATGCTTATTTGAAGCTCAGGAAACTCATGGAAAAAAGGTCATGATGTTTATATTAATAACTTATAAGAAACAAGAGAAAAAGACTGTAAAGCCAGAGGTAATAATTTTTTTCTTTGTGCTTTACTCTTTATTTTTCTTTAATTTTTTTATGAGTTTTTTTATGATGCAAACTTTTGAATATCTAAATAAAATGCTACTAGTTGTTTTCTGGATAGTTTGGGCATTGGTTATCATACTTAGATAATCCTTGCCTACTCCAAGGCGATATACTTGATTTTTCTATTTTATTCACAATTTTTAATTGTGTGACATTCATTTTGATTTAAGATACAGATTCCCCCCACACCCCATAACTAGCTCTTCATCTTGGTACCATTTATTAAATATTTCATTGTTTCTTCACTAATTTGAGTTACCTCTAAAAACATTACATGTTAATATTCAAGACTTTCAATGTGCTGAAAATTTTATAAAACTGACTCATGCTTATTCCAGAAAGTGTGGAAAATGCAGGGAAAGAAAAGAAAAATTTTTTATTCACAATACTACCAAAGACAACTATTAAAATTTTGTTATGTTTCCTTCTAGTAGCTTTTTTTAACTTCTCTATTCCTTTAAATTTTTAAGTACTATGTTATTGTATATGCCATTTAAAATTTTCATTTTTCCACTTAAAATGAAAAAGTTTAAATATATTCAAATGTGAATTCTTTGCATGTATAAGAAATTTAGGTTTTGTGCTTAATGAGTAGAAATTTAAATTAGAGCTGGAAGTTGAACTCTGAAACAATACTACATTTTTCTGTAGAAGTTCTTTAACTGGTGTCTCATTTGACTCACAGATGGGTTGCTTATCTTAGTTCTTGAGGTATGACGGGGATGATTGGTAGCCCTTTCTTTTCTTGTTCTGAAAATGGGAAGGGGTTAGAGTTACAGACTTGAATTTTTCTAAGAGTTTCAGGGTGTTGTAAGTGACACTGTATGTGACGACTATGACAAAGATTAGCTATGCCATGTGTCTGGCCCTCCCTTGTAAATTACACTCAGCTGCTAGATGCAAGTATTTGACATCTTTGTGTGACTTCATCTCTTTCCAGGCTGAGTTTTGTAATAAGCCTGACACCAATATATTAAATTGTGTTACAAATTGAGGGGGGATGGAGAGGGGAACCTAAAATAAAGAACCCGGCTTCAAAGTGATTGTTGTACTATGTGTCCTTCTGCTTCATAGCTTGTTGGTCACCTCCATGGGGCACATAAAGCTGACAGATTTTGGACTATCTAAAGTGGGACTAATGAGCATGACTACCAATCTTTATGAGGGTCATATTGAGAAGGATGCTCGTGAGTTCCTGGATAAACAAGTAAGTTTGGGTGCTATTTAGTTCTATGGAGAAATGCCATCGAAATTCAGAATGAACTTGTGTAGGCCATCTCCACATTAGTACTGGTGGTTTAGATGTCTGTATAAGCCTAACATTTAATAAAGTGCAAATTGCTCCCATTTTTCTCCCTGGGCCTCTTTGAACTGTCCGCTCCGCTCCCTCTACATTCCTCCCCCAACATTATGGTCTGTTAGCAAGACGAACGATCTAATTGCACACAAGTGAGAGTGTGAGAGAGACAAATGAAAAACTGTTTTTGTAAGGAATTCAGGAGTCTCAGTAGAGTACTCGTGAAACTCATGATGCATCGTACAATCACGGGTGCTAAATCCAAGCCACGGCCCATTTGCCTTTAAGCATGCCTCATTACCATGTGCCCACAATCTGTTCATTGTAAAGTTACTTAAGGTAAACACATCTCAACTGTCATTGCTTTTATGAAATAACCAGTCTGAATATATTTTAGTCATATAAAAACTCTCTCTGATAGTGACAGATTTTAAAATGCTCTATTATTTTAAATTTAAAGATTACGAATGTTTTTAATACTGTAAAATAGGTAAAACTACCAAATAGGGTCAGAGTCTCAATTTGAAATTAAACATTGTACATAATTTAACATGAGAGCAGAATTTTAAGCTTTCCTTCTTTGGTATTAAAATAATTTTTTGCCTCGGTATTGCAGATACCTACTTATAATTGTTGTTCTTCAGTTCTTTGTCCATGTGGTTCCATGTGGTTGAGCAGGTGTAGTCTGGGAAAAATAATTGGTGGTTAGCCATCTCGCTCATTTTAATTCATGCCTAATATTCCAATTATCCTAATATTGCAATTATCTTTTAGGTCTGTGGCACACCTGAATACATTGCACCAGAAGTGATTCTGAGGCAGGGCTATGGGAAGCCAGTGGACTGGTGGGCCATGGGGATTATCCTCTATGAATTTCTGGTTGGATGCGTGCCATTCTTTGGGGATACTCCAGAAGAGCTATTTGGACAAGTCATCAGTGGTAAATATCATCAGGAGTTATCTTTAAGCCACTGTTAGGAAGCAGCTATTTAATGTAAATCTGTTGAGTGTCGCAGTTTTTACTACTAAAATGTTAACCTTTATCAAACAGTTGAGCCAACAAATTAAAAGAACTCGTTCATCATAGCATATAATTGACGTTCACAGTCTCAAAAGAGCAATTTTGGTTGAAAATTGACCCAAGGAAGTTTTGTTAACATGGAATTTGGAAATGTACTAGCAGTGGAACCAACTTTTGTCATTTGTTTTTTCTGCAAAAGAAATTGGTGTGGGATTTGCAAATGATTTAGCTGCCGTCCAGTCTTCCTTTCTGTAATAGGAAAGTTGCACCAGGGAGGAAAAGGTTATGTGGGTAACATTTACATAAATGGGAAAAATGGCTAATGGCACAATGAAGAAATTAACAAAAATATAATAAACCCTAAAACAAATGTCTACCAAATGATAAATAATGAGAATGGGAAGGAAGCAAATTGAATCCACAGATTGTTAATGATTTCATTGGTAGTTGTTATGGTGTAATGTTATTTCTGTAACAGCTGTTCATCTTTCATTTAAAATTCAATAACTTTTAGATCTTAACCTGCAAGCTGACCCTAACTATTGTTGTGTGGCTAGTGGCAAAACGAAATGATAATTAAATAGGATCTATCACTACCCTACCTGCTGCTTTTTAGAAATTTCCCCGAAGCATAGATCATAAAGGCTTCTCTCTTCCTGAAAGTTTGTCAGGCATCCCTGACATCTCCATCAACCACCTCCAGTCTGTTCTGGACCATGTTTACAAGGTCTAGCAGCGGAACTAGGGGAAAAATTCATTCTGTGTACGAGGAGCCTCTTTATCACAACACTGTTTGCTGTCGTTGACTTTGCAAGCCAGGAATATTTGTAAACTTTCATAGAGCAGATTTGTGGGTTGCCTGCAGTGTGTAAGCCCTTTATACAATATCTGAACTGTTTATGGATTTATAACTAGGCTGTTTTCTGATACCAAGACCTGAATGGCAAGGGGAATCAACTGTTTAATTAACACAAGCAGCAAATGCTGGCTTTGTTCTTGATGCCTTACGGCTCAGATGCATATTCATGTTTTATTTTCCAAATCAGATTTAAACTGCAGCAGAGGAAGCTAGAGGCAGGCACACACAGAAATCACTCATGTTTTTATTGCATTACCGTACACACAAGCACGCACACCTATCTTCGGGCAAACTCCTTTAGAATGAGAACATATTCTAATATTTATGGCAGATTTTTAAATACTTCCATTACTATGATTACTTTGGGTTGTTTCGTCATCTTCTTTTTCAGTCTTAGCATTTTGACCTTTCCTTTCCCATTTCCTTTGGAAATAGTTATTTTTTAAAAGTTACTTTTTGCTTTATAGAGCTGAAGAACTCTATGGCTGTGGCCAAATTCTCAGTTGAGAAAATTAAGAGAGATAATCTTACCCTCAGATGATCCTCAGATGAGTGGCTACCTGAAACGCAGGTGTTTTTGAGTTTCTGTTAAGTCTTCTTAACATCTATCAGGGACAACTTGTTGGGAGCCAAGTCTGTGAAAGAAAAATGAACCAAAACGAATGAAAGATACTAGTTATTGAAATATTCCCCCCCCCCATGTTAAAGACAGCTCTTCGTGTCTTGTAAAACAGTGCTTCTCAAACTTGACTGTGCATAGGAATTAACTGAAGACCTTATTAAAATGCAGATTCTAATTCAGTGGGTGTGGAGTAGGGCCTGAAATTCTGCATTTCTAAAACAGACTGTCAGGTGATGTCCATGCTGGTAGGACCTGGACCACCCTTTGAACAATGAAATTATAAACTACTTTTCTTCCTTCTAGATGAGATCAACTGGCCTGAAAAGGATGAGGCCCCCCCACCCGATGCCCAGGATCTGATTACCTTGCTTCTCAGGCAGAATCCCCTGGAGAGGCTGGGAACAGGTTAGAGCACATGCGTTTTAATTTTGCTAATATGCAAGAAATAACATCTATGTGGAGCGCTGAGGCTTTTTGTGTTTTGCTTTTGCATAGGCAACATCTGTTAGTTGATGTAGAACATGACTACAGCACATCACAGCAGTAATATTTTGGATTTTGTTTTCTGATTCAGAGTAGTATGTATACTAGAAGAGTTGATTGTTTTTTGTTGTTTTTGTGTTTCACAAAGCAGAAATTATTCTTCATTTATTTTAATAAATAAAACTTCTCTGGAAGAAATCTTCAAGGGCACATGTAACTCCGCTGTCCTGAAAAACATGCATCTTAAGTAACTTAAACCAGGAGATGAGATTTCTGGAGCTCTTTTTGTTTTTTAATATATGTTCCCATAAGGATTTGACCCAGCATGCTACTATCCACAGGCTTTGAAATGGGTTATCAGTAGTTGAACTAATTACTAGAAATGAGTGCCTGGGGTTGAACCATGCTGTCCCATCAGCATGATTAGTACCGTGACCCAAGAAAGAGAATTAAAAACCACTGCCTTTCAAGATTAAGGAGATAGATTTGTTTCTTGCTGATTATTTTTCCTGACTCTTCTGATAGCAGATTTTTGTTTTCTTTTCTTCCCTGTATTCTGAATATACAGACCTAGGGATCCCAGTGTAGAGTCCCCACCTGCCTGAGTATGTGAATTTTAGATGAAACTAAAATATTAAATATAAATGCACATACTCTAGCCAGCATCTATGATTTTCATCAGTGAAAATTGTTGCCTTGATGGGTTGTTTACTGTGAGCTGTTTTATTCTATTCCATTTTAATAGAACTAGCAGAAAGTACTGAAGAAATAATTCTCTTCCCCATTTTTTCGTAAGATAAAAATCATTTGCAACAGTTCCAAATATTTATATTATTCTCCATGTTTACCTGCTGATTTCCCTGTTAGAGGGCATTGTTCTTAAGTATGAAATGCTATGCTACTAGAGTTTATAATAACATATTAGAGCAAAAGTCAGCAAACTATGGCCTGTGGGCCAAATCTGGCCCACTGCCTGTTTTTGTAAATAAAGTTTTATTGAAACACAGCAATGCCAATTAATCTACATATTGCCTAAATATGTACCTATTACATATTTCATGCCACAAGGGCAGAGTTAGGTAGTCATGGCAGAACATATGGCCCACAAAGACTAAAATATTAATTGTTTGGCCCTTTATACAAAAAATTTGTAGACCTGCATTAGAGAATCCAAGAAGGCTTAAGATCAAGGCTTAACTGGAAAATTTTTTAAGTTGAGCCTCTTACTAGAGTAGTACCTGTGACTTTTTGCCATTTTAGTGGGTAAGCAGACTCTTAAATTAGAATGCCATTATAAATTGAGGTTAAGGGCACAAACGCCTGAGTCAGACAGCCTGAGTTGAAATCTCAGCCATGTGATCATGGGCAGGTTACTTCTTTTCATTTCCTCATCTGTGAAAAGGAGCTTTTAGAAGTGCTACCTCACAGGATTATTATGAAGATAAAAAGAGGTCCTCCACATAGGACTCTTACAACCAGATACGATGCTGCAGGCATTATTTTTAATTTTATGCATATGTAATCTCATACTTTCCATTTTGGATATACAAGGTACAGAGATGGTGGTACTCCTGCCTTTGAACTCTTTGGGCAGAGGACTTTATATTTCTTCTCACTTACTGCTTTTCTAGTTGTCTGAAGTGACTACCAAACTTGTTATGTCACACTCTCTGTGGGACAGTTAGATTTGCTTTATGGTTTAAGAGATATAAGTAGCTATCAAAGATTTAGTGTCAGGACTATATACGGGGCAACATTTTAATGACTGATTTTTACTCGTGCCAGACAGAGAAGCAGCGGTATTTTAAGACTATCCTGCAAATCCTGCAATAATACAAATATTTATTTACACATCCCATTCAACTGACCCAGAGAAATGTTATCCTAACAATCTGACTAAACATATATTAGAATGGGCTCACCCCTTCTAATGGAAACTCAAAAGTCCCTTTCTTTTCAGTGTGCAAGTGTTAGTTTGGAGAGGTTTTCTGCTTAATTCAGGTTGAGTATCCCTTATCTGAAATGCTTGGGAGCAGAAGTGTTTCGGATTTGGGATTTTTTCAGATTTTTAAACATTTGCATATATATAATGAGAGATCTTGGGGACGGGGAACCAAAGTTTAACACAAAACTTATTTATGTTTCATATATACCTTATACACCTAGCCTGAAGCTAATTCTATAAAATATTTTAAATAATTTTCTGCATAAAACAAAAGTTCGTGTACACTGAGCCATCAGAAAGCAAAGGCATCTCTATCTCAGCCACCCAAGTGGACCTTCTGTGGTTGTTTGGTGTCACCACCATTCCTGGCTCTGAATTTATTTGCCACCAATATGCACTTTCTTACACGTATTCACACATAAGTACTTAATAGTAAAAAGGACATACCATTAATACAGTGATAAAAGAATGTGTGCAATATAAAAAGACATACCACTGATACAGTGAAAAAAGAATGCGTGCAGGGTAACGAACCAGGGCAAGCAGCATCTCCAGGATGCCTGTATCAGCTCTTACACAAGAGCAGCAGCAAACAATGGTAGGCGCTTAGTCTCTACCTGTGATGCTGTGTTTGGATAAAAAGGTTACTGTACACTGTATTTTATTTTCTTAGGTGAGAAGTACTGGGGGGCTGAGAAGCCCTTCTGCAAGATGTTTATTTTATTTTATTTTTTTTATACATTTCCTTCAAAGTCATCTGCCTCCATAACAACAGTTTTTGTCTTAGAAGTCTCTCTCTGATTTTATAAACTGACATGATTTCTTGTCCTGTTAGGAATGCACACTGCTCTCCTCCTTCAATAAGCCCATCACGCGTTGTGATTGCATCCTATCACATGAGGTCAAGTGTGGAATTTTCCACTAGTGGCATCTTGTCAGTGCTCAGAAAGTTCCCAATTTTGGAGCATTTCAGATTTTAGATTTTTGGATTGGGGATGCTCAACCTGTATTCTGCCAGTTTCACTCCTCCAGGAATGCTGAGATTCTTGATTGGGCTTGATTTATTGAGGCAAGGCTGTAATGGTGGCCAGCATATCCGTGTGTATATATATCTTATGCTGCAGGTTTTTTCTCTGCATGCTTCCTCATTGACTGCTACATTCAGTCTTTTCAGGGATTGACAGTTTGAGGAACAAATCCCCGAGCAGAATCCCAAAAGAGACATATAAAAGACCCTGCCCGAGCTCCGAGCATTGTTAGGAAACGCTTGCCAAACAGGCAGGCCCAACGTGACAGGTCCCAGTAGGGCCCAGAGAACGAGGCTGAGAATCCCGCAGGCCTGCCATGCTGCTTCCAATGACAGCATTTTGTATTTAATGCATATTTAGCGGGCAAAATAATGCACCGTGAAAATGTGCGAATGCACATTTGCCCAAGAGACTAGAGAGGCTGAGAAAAAGGGTGTGAAGAACATAATGGATATTTAAGAAACTTCCATGAAAGGAGAGAAAAGGGAGAATGTTAGTGCCAAAGTATAACTTGCAATTTGGGAACTTGTCCTTCTTAAACTCTACTTTTGAACTTGTAGTGTATTGAGTGACAGTCTGGCTCATTGGACTTTAGAGCTGCTCAGATGTGACTCCTACCCACATACCAGCCATGAGGACTCAGAGTGGTTTCTTCATTGCCCTGAGGCTCAGTTTATTAGTCTATGAAGATGGGCATGTTATAGACCTCATAGGATCATTGTCAGGAGTAAATCCAAAAATGTTCTTAAAGCTTAAAAGTGTCTAGTACATTGACCTAGTAGTGCATAATAGGAGTTCAAGAAATAATCAGTTTCCCTTCCCTTCATGGTGAATTCTTGCAACGAGAGCTGTCATTGGCATGAGTGATTTGTATTTAGCTCATAATGCCATCACCCACATTTTACCAACAGTTTAGCCCTGAGGTTATTTCCCTCAACTTGTCCCTTTAATTCCTTATCTCTCCATAAGTACATGAGAGACAGGACCCGCTGATAACCAGCTTCAGTGAGGCTCAGAGGCAAAGGGTGAGAAATGTGAGCTAGAAGAGCAACGGATTGTAGGGCCTTGGGGAGGACCCGTTTGTCATGGTCCACAGAGATGAAGCAGAGGCGCTCACCAACTTGGGTCCCAGAGGGAGGACTGTGGCCCCAGCTCTCTAGATGTGGTCTAGAAGTGCTATTTGAGCCCTTGGCCCTAAAGAAACTGCTTTCCTGGGTAAAGATGAGCAACCCAAAATGTCAGGGCTGGGCCATTGATTCGGCCCCACGAGTAGCAGCTGAAGTCATGGACATCATGATATAGTACAACCATGGCTGGACTAGGAGGAGTCCAGAGGTGTGCGTCGTGGGCCACTAATTAGGGCCTCATCCTCTGGACCTCAGTGTTGTCAGCACAGTGAGGGAGCTGGGTGGGGAAACACGTAAGCCGCCTTGGCTTTGGTATTCTGCTTCTCCAAGTAAAAGCGCACTAGAAGAAAATGACACTAGCAGCTATGTTTGGGGACATTGATTAGGCCTAGATGAAAGCCAGGATGCATGGTGGGCTGGAAGGGGACTGCAGAGCTGCTGGAGAGCGGCCACATGAATCGGCTGTCAGGGTCACTTCCTTGGTATTGGCAGCTGTGAGTCCATTTACAAATGGATGCAAGAGATGGAGCAGGAGCAAACGAGGGCCTGCCGCCTCCTGCTGCGGTGGGCAGTAGGTACTGGGGCACTTAGGCTGGACCCGGTGTTTGCAGACAGGCCTAGATTCCCCCCTCCGATCCTCACCCTCAAGGGGATCTTGGTCCAGTGATCTTTATTGCTTATTCTTTCTTTGTTTCCACATCCACAAATGGAGTTGATAATGCCTACTTCCTGGGGGTATTTTCAGTGTGTTAAAGGAAACAAGGTAACTGTAGCATCTGGTGCAATACTTGTCATAAAGCCGGCCCTCAAATCATAGCTGCTAATGCTTAATATCAGCCTTTAGTATTTTCCTAGAAACATGGAAAACACCTGGATAGAATCTTGGATAAAGAATCTAATCAGATGCTTTGTAAAGAAGCATCCATTCTCTCCTTTTTGGGGGGCGTTTTCCCCACTTTGCCCTTTTCTCTCCATTCCATTGTTTTCAGAGTAGTACCAGCTTGCCCTGGCTGGGTTTGGAGCAAGAGCCCAGGCTATGCCCTGTGATAGAGGGGCATGATGGGAACAAAGTTGCATCCCTGAGCCACACACACGGCACCCCCACCGCCCAAGCAAGACCCACAGCACGTTTTCCATCCAGCTTGCATTTCTCATCCTGTTCCTTTTGTACCCCACAGAGGACAGGATGAGAGGCATGGGTGACAACTGCAGGAAAGAGGCATTTACATTGCACCTAGAGGAGATCTCCTGGCAGGGAGGATGATTAGACCCTAGTATTTGTCTTCCTGAGCAATCTCTCGTCCTAGTTGTTTTTAGGATTGATTCTTTGTCTTCTCCCCCTCAGCAGTGTGTGTGCCAGTGGCAGGGTTGGGGGTCTGCCCTCCCGCTGTGATTTCATAGTGTGTACCTTCTTCTCTTTATATGTTTTGATGGGACCTGTCCTTTAACTTCACTCCTTAAAATCATGAACTGAATTAAAAAATATTCACTGACTTGTGCTATCATGCTGACTTGGCAAAAAGAAGCCTAACACTTAGGAATTGTGATTGGTTTTTATTGGAGGCATTGTAAATCTATAAAACAGATTCGTTGGTTTCTTACTTAAAAATCTGTATTCCACAGAATCTATTTCCTACCTACGTTAATGAGCAATCCAATAAAATGGAATGGTAACCAGTATATATAGTATTTTGGAAAATGTCATTATTTTTAACCTTAACCTCCAGAGGAAATATTGCTGTGAACACATTCTACACCTTGTTAGAATTTCTTTGCATTTTTAATGAGTGGGTCTGCTTTGGGCCAACATGCATCCACATCCCCAGGTTTGGCATAACGATTGTAAGTGGTCGCATCATTAACCTTTGAAAAATGGAAGAAGTCATGGAAACATTAACAAAGAAAAACTGTGCCATAGCAACTGCTGTTAGCAAAATCAAATCTCCTACTGAGAAATTGTCAGAAACTTTTTTTTGGTTTTGGTTGTATGGTGAAAAAGTATGATTTCCATGTGTTCTTTATTTCTCTGAAAAATTTTTAAAATTGTTCTTAAAAACTGATCTTTACCTTTGCCTACAAGACAGTTTAACACTTTGTTCTCTGTCTCTACCCGCCCCGCCCTCCAGGTGGTGCCTACGAAGTCAAACAGCATCGGTTCTTCCGTTCGTTAGACTGGAACAGTTTGCTGAGACAGAAGGCAGAATTCATTCCCCAGCTGGAATCTGAGGATGACACCAGTTATTTTGATAGTATGTGCATTATCTGACGTAAAACATTGTTTGACCTTTACTTCATAAAAAAAAAAAAAAAATCAGCTACGCTTTTGAACCTTCCAATCTCATACCAGTGGGTTCCTAAACATGTAATGTTGATTTGATACAGATACTCATATTTAAAATATGTAAATGAGAAGCCGCAATTCTGAGTAATTGGAACTCTTCCCAAACATTTCTCCGCAGCGCGGTCAGAGAAGTATCATCATATGGAAACGGAGGAAGAAGATGACACAAATGATGAAGACTTTAATGTGGAAATAAGGCAGTTTTCTTCTTGTTCACACAGATTTTCAAAAGTAAGTGAAATGTGGCATAAACATACAGAGTCTCTCTGGGAGACTCTCCCACTGGCCAGATATTTGGCACCCCTGAACAGCTGGGTAGGACTGTAAAACTGCCTACCCTTTGGGTGGGGGGGGCGACTTCAGGTCTCCTGTGCTTAAAATTACTTTGTGTTTAGGAAAGGTGACCTCATCAGCTTGATGGTCCAGAGTCCCTACCCTGCTGTGGAAGTATATTCCTCTCTTTCCACAAATTGTGATCCTTTATCCTTGGAGGCGTAACTTCACTTTGCACGCGAAGTCCTCTTTTTGGAACGTGTGGTGACTGTGCCTTGCCTGTCGCTCGGCCTGTCTCAGTGCCGGGCTGTGGAGGCACCGGCCGTGTCTTTCATCCTGTGATAAAGAATGTGAGCGTCACTGTGCGCAGAGCCCTCTCTAGGTATCACCCATCGTATGACACAGGGAGAAGGCTCCGTCCTTGACACAGGCAAAGATATGGGGGACAGTCGACTTTGGAATCAGAATCTGTCGTAACCAGTAATAGAAACTGTAAGTCACTTTGAAAAGGCAGTAGGAAGCCAAGCTAGAATTTTGGGAATGGTAGGTGACAATAAAATGGATGCTTGAGAAAGATGCCCTTTTATGGATATCGGTGAGATCAGAAAACAATCAAAACAAACAAATCTGATATTCTGAGACAGGGTGGGTCCCTAGGAAAAATGGAAATCAACCTGAGGGCACCCTACCTCCCTTTTGCTATTTTCAGTAGCAACATATTTTCTGTTGCCATGGCATTTTGCATGATGATTGTTTAGCTTTTCTGTAACATTTAGTGATTTTAAAGTGCTCTGTAGCTTTTTCCAAGTGATTACATAGAGTGCACCGGCAGATTGGCCAGCATTACCCTCCCTGTTTACAGGAATGACATAGAGTGGGTTTCCCTGGAGAGGGGGGTGGCAAGTCCGTCCCAGAGCCAGGGCAAAAGCTTTGCTAATGTTGAGTGTGGGCTCAGACCAGGACCTGTTCTCTGGCCTATCAAAGCCCACCCTAAACACTTTCCCTCTTTGCCTTGGCTGGTATTTCATTTTCTGCTGTTTCCTGTTCTTTAGCCACCGTCCTGTTACTCCCACTAGATTGTAGGAGGGCTGATGGCCATTGCCATGAGAGCAGCACATGGCTGAGTGGGGTGGTAGGGCTTCATGCACTGGGCCCTGAGCCTCCCCGCTTTACTTCCATCTTCCCTACAGGACAGCAGAGATTTAGAGGTGGACAGAGACCTTGGGCTTGCCTGAGCTCTGATCCCCTTCAGGAATGCCAATACCATCATGTGAGGCTACCTGTCTATATAGGCGATTTGTAAACCAAAACAGTAACTCTGGCTCTTATAACCAAATATGTACTGTATCCCCCCCCCACCTGCCTCCCTGCCCAATTCTTGAAAGAGATAATTTATTCTTTACTTTGCACTCAATTCCAATTCATTTTTCTCCTTCCTACCCCTGACTGGTGGCCATTAAATCTTTTTCTCCGTTATTTTCTTTTTCCGATTGACTTCATGGTTAAAAAGTAATCTAAGATGTGTATTGATTCCCAGGCCTAGAAACCCCAGTGCATCTATGGATTTAGTTTGCAGATGAAAAGTCCACACCGAGGTATGGTGAAAGAGGATGATGGATTCATAGCTCCCTACTTGAAAAAAAAAAAAAAACACTCCGTGACCCTTCATCTCAGGATTCAAATAAACAGCATTGGAAAGTACTTTATGACTACATGATATCAGTTCAAAATTTAGTTATCCTATCAGGTTTTTCTCTCAAGACTTGGGTTTTTTTTTTTTTTTTTTTTTTTTTTCTGACAAACACTTTCTAGATGATATTATTTGCCTTCCAGGTTTTCAGCAGTATAGATCGAATAACTCAGAATTCAGGAGAAGAAAAGGAAGACTCAGGAGACAAAACCAAAAGCACAACCTTGCCATCCACAGAAACATTAAGTTGGAGTTCGGAATATTCTGAAATGTATGTGAAATGCCTCTTAAAAAACATCATGAGCAGTAGCTAATAGAGCAGTGTCTCTTAAACTTTAGAGAAAATCAGAGTCCCTGGGGGGCTGTGAAAACACAGATTGCTGGGCCCCCTCCCAGACTTTCTAATGCAGTAGATCTGGGATGGAGCCTGAGAATGTGCATTTCTAACAAATTCCCAGTCGTGCTGTGCTGCTGGTCTGGGTACCAAATTCTAAGAACCATTGCACTAGGCCGGGCGTGGTGGCTCACAACTGTAATCCTAGCACTCTGGGAGGCCGAGGTGGGCGGATTGCTCAAGATCAGGAGTTCGAAACCAGCCTGAGCAAGAGCAAGACCCCGTCTCTACTATAAATAGAAAGAAATTAATTGGACAACAACTAAAAATATATAGAAAAAATCAGCCGGGCATGCTGGAGCATGCCTGTAGTCCCAGCTACTCGGGAGGCTGAGGCAGTAGTATCACTTGAGCCCAGGAGTTTGAGGTTGCTGTGAGCTAGGCTGATGCCACGGCACTCTAGCCCAGGCAAATAGAGCGAGACTGTGTCTCAAAAAAAAAAAAAAAAAAAAACCATTGTACTGAACAGGTCTTGGTTAGAGGCTCATCCAAGACCCATTTTCACCTGGCTTCTCCAAATGCACCTTCAACAGTATGTATATATGACTGTGTTTTTGTTTTTAATGAAGGCAACAGTTGTCAACCTCCAACTCTTCAGACACTGAAAGCAACAAACGTAAACTCAGCTCTGGCCTGCTTCCCAAACTGGCTATTTCAACAGAGGGAGAACAAGATGTAGCTGCCCCCTGCCCTGGAGACCCCCGTGAGGAGCCAGAAAAGCCAGCTCTTCCTCCTGAAGAGTGTGCGCAGGAGGAACCCGAGGTCACCACCCCTGCCAGCACCATCAGCAGCTCCACCCTGTCGGGTAAGCCCCTGGGCACGGTGCCTGCTGTCCTTGTCCACCACCCGGAGAAGTGACTCTGAGTGCTCGGAGTCCCAGCCAGGCGGTAGCAAGGGGTGCTTTATGCCACTAGACTCCCTCCATGGCCCTCCTTCTTGGGTGAAGGGCATGATCTTCCTGAGAGCTAAGATCAGGTTCCAGACCCCTCCATAGTGCTTGGCCCCACAGCACTGAGGTTTGACCTTGGAGCCAGCCTTGGCTTTCACGGCCGGGTTTCCGTGGGACCCGTTGATGGCAGTCAGCACATGCCAAGGGAGCACGATCTCAGTTGTTGATGCGATGACGTGCCTTTTGAAGTTGCATCTAACTCAGAGTTAAGGGTAAGGGACAATATCAAATAGTCAAATCATCAAAATTGCCTTTGAAAGACATTTTCAATCACTCATAAGGTTCAAGATAAAGCCAGATTTCCCTCTAACATTGAAATGGATGGTTACTTCTTTGAAGGCATTGGCTTTTGGTAAGGGGTCCGGCTGTATCTCTTCACAGCAGATTCATGCTGAGTGCTGTTAGATGCTTGTGCCATGAGGTTCATGGATGCCTTCTGCGTGTCTAGAACAGAGGGGGAAGAGGAGAGTCGGAAATACCAACACGATTTAAATCGGTATTTTTTTGTGCATGTGGAATAATTCCATTTCAGACAAAAGTTCCCTTCCCAGTCTCTGGGCAACAGAGTAAGAAACTTCTGAGACATCTTTGCCGGTTTAGGAGGCAGTCAGAGGGTTTGAGCCTTTTCTTTGAAAGTGCGTTTGTAACATTACCTTTGTGTGAAGTGACCTTCCTAACAAGAGTGTCTTCACAGGTTTTTAAAGTGCTTAATGTACCATGGATATTTGTTAGCTCTTAATAATGGAGGCGTCCTCATTAGATAATCAAACTTACACTTCCCTCGGGGCAAGCCTCTAAGTACATTTAAAATATCATTTGATTTATAAAAATGTTATATCCTTCTATGGAGCCATTTATTTAAAAAAATCATGGATTTGGCTTAGGGTCACTATAGTAAATGTTTTCATTAGGCCATATTCAATATGCTGTATTGTTAACCATGAATGATTCCAAGACTTTTCATCAATTTTTTTTAACTAACTGAGTATTTATAGTGTACATTTTTTAAAGAAAAAATCATTTCAAGAAAACAAATCTTACAGGCTGGATTTATTTCAGCCTCACTAAAGAGTGGCTTTGTGGAACTTCACATGTGCTTACAGTTTACTGTCAGGAAAAATAGTGTTGGGTTTTCTTCTTTTCTCTCTTCACCTCAGTTCTGGGTTCCTTGTTGGATAATTCCACCTATCCTAACTATAAAAGCCCAGAGAATAGCAATATAGAAGTGGTAGAGTGGCAACCTCTGACCATTGTTAACTCATTTCGGTTCTCAAAGGTAAATATTAGTGGTTGGTTACACAGGTGTCTATCTGTTTCTCAGCAGTCTAACTCCAAATAGAGTGCATTCATCTCCATTTAAAATGTATTCTCACTACAGTGAATTGTTTACCATCTCTTAGTGTCCTCAGCCTCCTTACCATCAGAAAGGTAGGAGGTAAAGGGAGGGGGAAGAGTGCCTAAGCATTTGATTGATTACTTTCATAATTAAAAAAAATCTGCCTGGGCCCTGCCATGCATTTTGATTAATAGATTCAAACCACCTTTCTCTGTCTCCCCCCACTTCTGCCCCCAGCACATACTAAAAATAATCAGAGACCTCGGGAGCTGCACAGAATAGAGAGACGAGCTGATTTGCTTATAGCCAAGGGTAATTAGGGAATCTGAAAACTGTGACTACAGTAAAATTAAATGTGTTGATTTTTATATTGCTCCACCATCAAAAAGAAGGAACCCTTGACATTTAGAGAACATTAAGGTGACATTATCCACCATTGGTGGAGAAGAGGCACATGCTCATGTGCGGTTCTGCAAAATGAGATGGCAGAGACAGGAGGGAGGGCGACAGGAGGTTGTATATCCGCACTCTGGCATTGAGGGAAGTCCAGCTTTACACCTGTTTCCCTTTTTTCACGACTACATTGTATTTGAATCCGTGAAAAGTAAAAGTGTTGAAGCCTTAGGTGTGTTGCTCGAATGCTTCCAAGCAGTTACTCAGTTACTCATGGTGAAGAGATTTGGCTTTTCATGTTATACTTGTGTCATCCAGACCAAAGTAGAAAGATGAAGGAAGTGTGTAAATAAGCCGAAGGTAAGCTTAAGTTTTGTGAGATGAGAGTTTTTAACTATGAAGTAGTTTTTATTAAGTCCTTCAGCAGTGGATTTCTTCAAGGGATTAGAATATGCTGTTAAGTGAGAGTGAGTTTAGCATATAGGAGCAAAAAGCTGGTAGGAGTTTGCCTTAGAAGTATCTTGCTCTGTTGGTCAGTTGGGTGTTACATGGAAGTCCATGCATCTTTTTTCTGTACACACAGCACAGGAGATGGCCATGAGGTGTGCTGTGCCCAAGTCTCGAGCCTCCTTAGCTTAACGGGGACCACAGCTGTAAGGTCTGTGCCACCTGCACGAGCTGGGGCCAAACCACAAGCAGTGCAGTTGAGTGGTGTGTGTACATAGCAGTGCAACAGGAATGTCAGTCAAGTCTAACTAAGCCTAACTCTTTCGTAGGCAAAGAACGTCGTGTGGTCAGCACTTTAAAATGTGCTGGCTGATCTTTCAAAGGATCATTTATAATTACATTAAATACTCTGTGTGGATATCCTAAGGTGAAGATGGGAGTTGGTTGTCAAGTGCAGGAGGCTTATACTGTAGCATTTAGAAGTAAAAATGAGATGAGCATTGCCTCTTCTGGATAGACAAAACTGTTTTTTTCTTTGAAAAGAGGAAGAGAAAAAATAGAAACTACTGACATGGGAAAGAAAGAGTAGGAGAAACCACAGTGGGTAGCTGCTCAGCTCTTCTCCGGGGGACTCGGTGTGTCTTCCTGCTGGAGATCTTTCTTTACTCTCAGCCTCTGCAGCCACCAGACCCACACCAGTCATTTTCCGTTTCTGTGGCCGCCTACGTGCTTACACTCTCTTATGCTCCACTGTTGAGGGGAATCCTAATTTTTTAACTTAAAAATAAAAAAACTCCAGTTTATATGAAAGATGAATAAAATTAAAAATAAAGAAGGTATGTCTTAGAGGGCATGGGAAGTAACTTCAGGGAGGATAAATGTATGACATAGTGTCTAGATTAAAAGCCAGGAAGATGAAGTGGGCTGTTGAGTAATGTGGTGAGTCACATCCTTTGTCTTTGTCTTATCCTTTGACATTGACAAGGACCCTAGAGTGGAAGGAGGAATATGGCGTGAGAAGTCCTAGGAGGCACGTTAGGCTCCTTCTGCGAGTTACGTACCTGTGCCTAGTGTGAGGTGTGCCCTAGGAGATGACACAGACATAAGCCTACGTAGAGGGATGGGGTGCTGCCCAGTGACAAAATTATTATCAACAGCATATTGATAGTGATGATCAACGGTTTCAAAGAGTAACCATGGTGTGAAGTGGGGGGTCATGGTGTTCATAGTAATGTTTGGGTCGTAGCCTGGCCTTTCCGGGTGGGGGGTGGTTGAGGGAGAATTATCTCTGCAAGGGCTCTAAAGTATAGACTGTAGAAAGTAATTTATTCCTCTAGTTAAAGAGAGTCATTGGTGGAGAATTAGCAGAGTTGTGTGCAAATAGAATGAAGCCTGAATGGTCACCTCTCCTGTCTCTTCCTTTTTCACATCACCTTTCTCAAACCAGTCCTGTGTTTTTAATGTTCTGACGCCGGATGGACGTGCTAGCCACGTTGGGAATATGTTTTCCAGCATTCTTTTCCTCCTCCTCTCCCTCTCTCCCTCTCTCCTCCTCTCCCCTCCTCTCCTATCCTAGATTTTCCTGAACATGTTTATCCCTTCTTCTTTGTACAGTTGGCAGTTTTTCAGAGCACTTGGATCAGATAAATGGACGGAGCGAGTGTGTGGACAGTACAGATAATTCCTCAAAGCCTTCCGGTGACCCCGCCTCTCACATGGCTCGACAGCGATTAGAAAGCACAGAAAAAAAGAAACTCTCTGGGAAAGTCACAAAGTCCCTCTCTGCCAGTGCTCTGTCCCTCGTGATCCCAGGAGGTAGAGAGACACCTGCTCGCATGAAACCGTGTGATGTGTGCATGTGCCCCCGCGTGGCATGCTGGCTGAGATGCGAGACCGCTTGCGGCCATGACGGGGACCGCCCCGCATCGGGGGAGCAGGGCAGCCTGTTCCATCTCACCCTTCTGCATCAGGAGATGGGAGAGGCTTCCTGCCCACGGAGGCTTATTTCTTTCATTTCCTTCCATTTCCTTTTCCCTTCTCCCTCCAAGTTAAAGGATAAATTTCCCTCCCCTGAATTATTTTTCTTCTCTAGACTATGTATTATTTATACACTTTACAGAGCTGTTTACAGCATCTGCGTTGGGAAGCTAAGTATAGTTTTCCTCATCTAATTAATGAGGAAACAGACACAGAGAATGTGAGCTTTTCATTGGTGGAGGGGCAGAGTCACAGCATTGAAATGATAAGTTTTCCCAACACTGTCAGTTGAGCTATGCTTCCTCCTACTGGTAGTCAAATCATTTTCTGCCCTTTTTTGGAAAACTGGACTTAATGACGGTTTTGTTGAATTGCAGCATTTTCCCACAACCTGGCTTTGCCTGTACTTATCACTAAGTCCATAGTAACTCCACTGGCAGAGATAAAATATGCACCCCAATGGCTGTGATATCATTTCAATGACAGCAAGAGAGGGGAAATGGGACGTGAACTATATTGCAGATGGCTTGTATTTGGAAGAATACAGACCATGTATAAAAGGGATTGTTTACATTTTTTAAATTTCATATTTGTGCAGAAAGAAATTTGATATAAACAAATGCTCATTTGGGAGTAGTACTCACTGTAGCAGATGCAGTTTCTGGGAGATGTCCCACTTAGCACTATGGGACACACACCTCTCTCTCTAGTCTGAGTGACTGTTCATAACCGAAGTATAGTGGTCCTAGTGCAGCTGTACAATAGGGAAGGTAAGTTTGATGTGGTCCAGTGTACTTTTTGAACACTGATATGGAAGCCCATACTTTGGTAAAATAGGGAAATTACTCAATTTGGGAAGATAAGGGAGACCATCACGAGGTAAAAAAACGAGGAGCTTGGCTTTTCAGCCTTTGGGGCTGATATGTGTCCACTCTGTCCTTTTCCCACCTGCATGTTTTGAAGTTCCTTGCCCACCAGTGTGCACTTCTTCACCTGGCCCTTGATTAGACAGCAGGGAGTCAGCAAAAGGGAACCAAGAGGCCATGTGAAGGCAAAAGAGTGAAGGAGCATGGATAGCAAGTGGCATGTTTGGCTTTGCTCTTTGGACAAGCATAAAAATGGGAACAATGGTGGTATGGATACTTTCAGCTCACTGGGACCACAGTGGAACTTGCCACACCCTGGTGAGCCTTCAGTAGCACCGGGCACTTTGTAGCCTGGCTCCAACTAAGCTCACATTTAAACCTCAGCATCTTTTATAGATTATTCTACCTTTTCTCAAACACACACGCACACATATATACACATGCAATTTCACATCAGCACTTAACACCTGTTTAGATCCACATAGATGGAACGGTGCTATGAACAATAAATTAAAAGTGTATTTGTGTTTCAGTTCATTTTTGTTACTATAACAAAATACCTCAGACTGGATGATAGGTAAAGAACAGAATTTATCGTTCGTAGCTCTGGAGGCGGGACGTGCGAGATCAAGGTGCCAGCTGATTCACTGTCTGGTGAGGGCTCGTTCCTCAGAGATGGCACCGCCTATGTGTCCTCACGTGGCAGAGGAGCAAACAAGCTCCCTTAGGCCTCCTTTATAGTGGTACTAATCCCATTCATGAGGGAGTAGAACCTCATGGCCTAATCACTTCCCGAAGGCCCCACCTGTTAACATCACCACCTCGAGGGTCAGGTTTCAACATATGAATTTGAGAGGAACACAAGCAATCGGACCATAGCAGTTTGCTTATAAAACAGAGAAAACAGAGTAGAATTGGCATTTGGGGATATGAACTGAGTTTCTGTTAACATTTCTCTATCTCACCGACATTATCCTCTTAGAAACCTTATCAGAATTTATAGATAATATGTGAAGAGAATCAGCTGTAACCATACTAATGAGTTATTCTTTTATAGAGAAGTCACCATTTCCTTGTTTTCTTCATTAAAATTCTTTAATCAGTACTGGTTAAATAGCATTGTAGAAAGCAGCTGGTAAATTAATAAATTGCTTTCCTGGGCACATGTGTTGAACAGGACCGTGTTAAAGTTGCTTAGTGCAGGATTTGGAGTCCCCATGTCTCTCACTGTAGAACATAAAGTCTTCTGTGCGTGAGGACATACTTGAAACCCATGCATCTATGACTTATTTCTTTAGTTAAAATATATTAAGTAAAAATATCACAGCCAGAAAGTTGCTAATTAGCATCTTTTAATTAGTGTGGACAACTAAGAAAGTATAACTTTAGGGTATTAACTGAAAAATTCGTTAAAATAGAAACACTTTTAAGTTTGCCTGATAGGCTTCTGTTCCGAAATCCATGTTTACATCTTCTTTATTTTGCTGTTGGAAATGAATGGGTTTGTTTTGTGACCGTGCTCCCAGTCCTGGCAGGGCCCACATGGCGAGGGCTGGCTACATGGATGTGTGTGGCCAAGGCCAGCTTCGGTGACCGGCTTCTTTGTTGCAGATATGTTTGCTGTCTCCCCACTGGGAAGTCCAATGTCTCCCCATTCCCTGTCCTCGGACCCTTCTTCTTCGCGAGATTCCTCTCCCAGCCGAGACTCTTCAGGAGCTTCTGCCAGTCCACACCAGCCCGTCGTGATCTACAGTTCAGGGAAGAACTATGGCTTCAACATGAGAGGCATCCGGGTGTACGTGGGAGACAGTGACGTTTATACAGTGCACCATATCATTTGGGTGAGACCAACAGTCTCTCATACTTGCTATTAGTTTTCATGTTCAGCCAAGCTGGAGACTGGATAAATTGACTGAGGCATAGTTAATAGCGAATGTCTTTTCTTTTAAGATGGCTGTTGCGATGGGTTTCATTTTCCATTTAGAGCTCTTTCCCTCTGTCTATGTGGTAGAATTGAATTTAGCAAAAACTAATCATTTCTCATAATTCTGTCCAGTTTTCATGTTTGATCATCCACTCTCATTAATACATACCAAGCTGACAGATGTAGTCAAAGGCAGTCCAATATCCATCCTTCTTTCATTCTCTCTTTTTTTTTTCCTGGTCTTTTTTTTTTTTTTTTTTTTTGAGACAAAGTCTCACTTTGTTGCCCAGGCTAGAGTGAGTGCCATGGCGTCAGCCTAGCTCACAGCAACCTCAAACTCCTGGGCTCAAGCGTTCCTCCTGCCTCAGCCTCCCAAGTAGCTGGGACTACAGGCATGCGCCACCATGCCCAGCTAATTTTTTCTATATATATTAGTTGGCCAATTAATTTCTTTCTATTTATAGTAGAGACGGGGTCTCGCTCTTGCTCAGGCTGGTTTCAAACTCCTGACCTTGAGCAATCCGCCCGACTCGGCCTCCCAGAGTGCTAGGATTACAGGCGTGAGCCACTGCGCCCGGCCCCTGGTCTTTTTAAAAATTACCTTCTCAGTTCACTTGAAAATTTTCAAGGAACTGTAGGAATTATACAATTTTGGAACAATAACAGAATAGGAAGAGTAACCATGCCTTTTTGATTTTCTATTAGGAGCTTAGAACCATTTGCTAATTAACTCAGAATATCTGCCAGAGAAAGAGTAGGTGTTAGGGCTGTCATTTGTTTGGTTACAAATATATTCTCTCCTCTTGGACTGTAGAATGTGGAAGAAGGGAGTCCGGCGTGCCAGGCAGGCCTGAAGGCTGGGGATCTCATCACCCACATCAATGGAGAACCAGTGCACGGACTTGTCCACACGGAAGTTGTAGAGCTCCTGCTAAAGGTATTGCCGTTTTTATGTCAGAGCCATGCAGATGAGGCACGTAGCCCAAAGGAACTAGTACCAGAAGGTTGACTGCTCTGTGGCACACCCATGCCGTCAGTCTCATTACTGAGAAAGTATTCAGTAGTCTGAGGTTTAATATGAAGACAAAGATATTATGAATTCTCTGGTTTTATATTCTGCAATAATAATCCTTATATCTGCATGCTCATTCCCTGACTTAATTTTGCTTCTCATTCTCTGTTGCAAACAGTACGAATTCTCTTTGTTTACATACCTCACACAGTGACATCTGTTTGGGAATCACCTGTCCTAACGGGGAACTTCTTCAGGAACTTTCTAGTGTAGTAGAAGACAAAATAGTATTAAACCGTGAGATTGTATTTGAAGGTTTAGTCTGAGAATCAGAGTTCCTTTGAGGGACAAAATTGCAAATATATACAAGTGTACTATAAATTATAAAAAGAAGTGATAGTGCAGTTGCAAAGATGTGGAAACAACCCAAGTGCCCATCAATCCATGAGTGGATTAATAAAATGTGGTATATATATACCATGGAGCACTATTCAGCTTTAAGAAATAACCAATGGTGATATAGCACCTCTTGTATTTTCCTGGATAGAGCTGGAACCCATTCTACTAAGTGAATATCCCAGGAATGGAAAAATAAGCACCACATGTACTCACTAGCAAATTGGTTTCACTGATCAACACCTAAGTGCACATATAGCAATAACATTTATCGGGCGTCGGGCAGGTGGGAGGGAGGGGGGAGGAGGGGATGGGTATATATATACATAATGAGTGCAGTGCGCACCATTTGGGAGATGGACACACTTGAAGCTCTGACTCCAAGGAGAAGGGGCGGGGGGGAAGGCAACACATGTAACCTAAATATTTATACCCCTGTAATATGCTGAAATTAAAAAACATAAAAATAAAACAATAAGTGATAGTGGAAAGATGGATTCTAGCTATTATTAGGCTTCCTTCTCCCTTTTCAAATTAACTTAAATGAGGATCAATTTCTGTTTAAAATGTAACCTCCATAGAGTCTGTGGGGTAAGAAGCTCACGTGAATATAAACAGAGAAAGAGTGTATACACAGATCCTCTTAGGCAGTTCTGTTGAGTTATTTCCTTTGCCACCTGCTGACTTTAGAATATAAAGTTATAGCTCCAAATAATCTGGTTAAAACAAATAAAGATGAATTTATATACTTGACTTAAAATTTTCTCAGAAAAAGAAGGCTATGTTATCTGTGATGTGAAATACAATTCCTGCTTGTGGGATTATTTTACAATCAACAGACTTAGGGACGACCTTTTGTTTCTTGGGCACCATCCCTCAGACTCTGGAAGGGGCTACCAGCCAGAAAGAGGTAAGCTGCAAAGGGCCTACGGTCTAGTTAGGGAGGCAAAGCATAAATACAGAAAAGCATAAACACCTACACATCACTTATGTGACATTCATTCAGATTGTTTCTGTAGCATTCATTCTGAGGCAGGTAGACGTTGGTAACATGGGAATTAAGCTATGATCTCTGCCCTCAAGGTGTGGGACATGTATGTAGCAAAAACAGCACAGCTTATTTATTTGGGCTGTGGCAGAGCGAGGAATGTCATGCTTCTGGAGAGAACATTCTCTGAGTGGGGAGAGGCATCACAGGGGAGTGATATGGAGCTGGAACTTGAAAGAAAATGAGGAATTTGGAAGCGACTCTAGGGAAGTGGGTGTGCACATCTTTCCAAAGCAAGTGCAATTAGATGACTTTCCTACTCCCTTCTCTGCTCTTCCTCCGACCCACATAAGTGTATTCTCCATAAGATTCGGGGTCTGATCTATGTTCTAGGAGTAGTAAACAGCATGTATATCCAAAGATCCAGTGTGAAGTAGTAGATAGGAGAGTTATTGCTGTTGATTAATTCACAGCATTAATGAGATTTTGGTCCTGGGCTCAGGCCCCATGGGTGTTGGGGGCTCAATAAGTTTGTGGAATTAAGGTGAACCATGGGGTTCTCTTTTAGCAGTCCAGAAGTTAGCATGGGAGGAGCCAGGTACCACATGGCTACTTTGTTGTGTCCTGATTCACATCTGCTTTACGTGCTCTTCAGTTTGGTAGCAAAAGCCGTAAGATGACTGGGGTTAGCCTACACATCTGCTGTATGGCTGCTGAGTAGAAACAAATGCCACTTCTAGCACCTCAGTGCCTGAGATCTGAAGTTTTTAATTCCATTCAGCATCTGTCTCTGATAATATTTTTTGTCCGACTGAGATGGAACAGTTCTCTCAGAGAAAATGTTCAAGAAATGGCAGGCAAAGCAGGATTGCTGGCTGTGAGACCCCTGGGCTGTGAAAGTCACCTGAAATGACCCTAGATTCCCTGAGACAAAAGTCAGGGAGAGACACAAAGATCCATGAGTGTGACCAGCTGCTTCTCTCACTACACTGGATCCTGTGGTCTGTGGTGGGTGCCCCATCGCGGGGTCAAAGCCACTCCGTGGAGAAGTGCCCAGGGAAGTTGGTTTTTCCCTTCGTCTCCTTATCCAAGACAAGCCTTTCCAGTTCTCAGGGCCTGCAGAGGTGGGCAGAAAGAGGTGCTTGCTGCCTCCAGAGTGCTCCTTGAGCTTTTCTAGTTGATCACCTTGACCTTTTGTGTTGGAGAAGTCAGTGTTCTGTAGGCATGCTTCTCCTGGTTATCATTCACTCTGCTAGAGCTTTTCCAGACCTTGGCCTCTGTGACCTAACAAGGTTAAGAGGATTTCAAATGGTCATAGACATTTTGTCTTCTGTATTCTTTGTAAGGATGTTGTATTACATGCAGAATAGCTCCTGCCATGGCGTAGCTTTAAGTTATATCTCTCTCCACGACATCAGAATAAGAAATAATAGACTGAAATATAGATATTGAGAAATATGCATCTGTTTATTTTGCTGAGACATAATTGATCACTTTCATGATTTATTCTTTCAAGTATTTTAATATGATTTCGAATTTTAAAACTTCTCTTCCTGTTTCTATGAAATTTGAAATTTCCCCTAAAGGTCTCTCAGCAGACTCATATGATCCCATTTATAACAGTTTGCCCTCATCTGGTTATGGAGCCCCTGCCACAATCTCTAAAGCCTGGGTACAGCCACTGTACCCAGTGTCACTGCACACAGTGGAATGGAGTGCCACCGGCACCCTTGGAAGCCATGGGGTGCTCTGTCACAAATCCAGACAGAGGATCCTGCCTGCGGTTCATAAAAGAAGCGCTGAAGAGGAGTAACCAGAGTGTAATGAAACAAAGAGGATACAGGGAATTTAATTATCTTCCCAGTGAACTGTGTAATCGTGCAGCTTTCTTCCAAATTTAGCCAACGATTCTTGAATGAGGAGCATAAAGTGACTAGTGTCCATGCGGGACCGCCGTGCACCATCCTGGTTTAATGTTGGCATGGTCACTGCATTCTGGTATTGCTGGATGCTGTTTGCACAGTGTTTTAGACTTGCCAAGTATTTTACAAAATCTCATGATTTTTTAAAATCAGAGAAAGGTGGAGAGGTTATGACCGAAGGTCGTGTGTATGTGTTTAATAGAACTACATGAGTGCATGCACAATATTTATCTTTGGGATTATGGACATAGAAGCATTTTTCATGTTTCACATTTGGTCTCATTTACCTTCACAAATCCAAAGCGAACCCACTAGGGAAGCGCTAACTTCCATGCACAGGGAAACTTGCCCAAAGTCACTTGGCATCCTGGAGCCATGGGATTAGAGAACGTCATGGTTATCCAGCTCAACGCCCCCCTGGCTACATGAATCCCTCACAGTGTACTCCTGCAGCTTCACCTCACACCCTTCCTTCCAGCCCTGCCACAAGGAGTTAACCACCTCCATTTGATAATCTGTCTAAAAGAACTTTATCAATAAACTTCAATCATTCTTCACCCAGTAGACTTATAAGTGGAGACCATAATGATCCAGTGCTATTCCCCGCTCCCATAACTTGCCAGGGTTAACTTCTGTGATCCAAGAAACTTTCCACTCAGCCAGGTTGCTGTTTTAATACAGCATTGATTTAAGTCCCCAAAGCATAAGAGAAGCCCTAAAACTTCACCAGCCCCTGCTTCAGAAAAGACGTTTCCATGAACTCTGGGAGCCTCTAGATGCTAAAATAGGGATATCAAATAGCATCATTACCATTCTCACAGATTTACTGAGCCCCTGATAGGTGCTAAGCCTTGTGCGGAGTACTGCAAAGGTGACACAGAAATGACACACGTGAATAGCTAATGGAGAGAGAACCCCTGGTACCTCTCAGGCACTGTTGTAAGTTCTTGACAGGAATAAACTCAGGTAACCCTCATAGTTACATTCTGAGGCAGGTGCGATAAATACAAATGTTCCATTTCACAGATGGAAAAAACAAAGCAGAGAAAAGTTAACAAAGCAACCCAAGCGTGTCTGCTAGGATGAGGCAAGGTGATTTTTTGTGCCCACGCAGTGCAGCTGTGGAGCCTGTGCTTTCCACTGCCGCAGTGTGCTGCTCTGCACATCAAGTCTTTGACTGCCAGAAACTTAAGAATCTCATGTCCACAGGGGGAAACGGTGGCAATGCCAGGCTACAATCAAAGTGTCAAACATAGCAACAGATGATAAACACGGCAGAAGTTCTGAGGAGAGATGGCTTTTCTCCAGGGTGGACAGGAATGGTGTCAAAGAATTGAGGGTAGTCAGTGCAGGGCTTTGAGAGATGGGTGGAGATTCAGTATAAGGAAAGGAGGTGCAGGATAGTCTAGGCAGAATGAAGAGGTGTGTAAACACAAGGGCAGGGGATCTCAAGGTATACGAGGTACACAGGTGAACACCAGTGGTCTGGAGCCTTGATTAAGGATAAAGTGTGTGAGGTGGCTGGGGCTGGGTAGGGAAGGGGTGAGGCAGGGTGAGGACACGGTGATGCAGGGAGAGCCCACCCCTTGTCTGTGGTTTGCAGAGAAAGAAATATAAAAGCAGTCAAGGATGGGTTACTCAAGACGCACTGATAGGTAAAACAGAGCCAGACTGAGAGAAGCAGTTGGACCACCTGACTTCTGCTATTGCATTCGAGTGAGCCAGTTTAACAGAATTTTCCTCCAGCTGTGCGCTAATCACGAAAATAGTTTAAAGCAAAGTGAACTAATTGAACATTTAACAGTCTACGCACTGCATTTTGGTGGTTATTTTTTAAACAAGTGCCACAGAATTTCTCTGATAAGAAGTTACTCATTAATCAAGAGAAGTTAATTTTGGATTAAGCAGCCGGGAAAGCCCCTTTGAGTACTTCCGGTAGCACTCGCTGTAGCCAAATGGATCCACCAGGTGGCAGGCTTCACAAATCTCACCTATTATTTTTCCAATCCTTTACCATTTTTGTAACCATTAATATTTCCAACCTAATATTTGCGCTCTGAATCCTTTGTGCTTGTATTTCCCCTTAGAGAAATTGGTGCTTGTCCATAAGTCCAGTGAATTGCACTCTGGAGCAGCTATATGTAAAAACAAGAAAGAGCAAACTAGGTTTGGTTTTTGCAGGGGAAGGAACATTTATTTGTGCAGAGCCTAGTGATGTGTTGTCACTGAGCAAGCCCTGGTCTTCACTATTTTATGGTGATAAATGCCTGGGATTTACATTTGTCTTATACAATTTTATGATATGTTTATATCTCCTTCACTTGTTTCTGACAATCTGATACCTTGATTGTGCCACGTGTCAGTGAAGTGCCTGGTTTTTCCACTACTCACTGAGCACCAGCCTGCCCTGTGCCAGGCACAGGAGTGGCAGAGGGGACCAGAGATTGGTAGGAGGAAATTGGGGGTGAGGGGCAGGAGAGCCAGACTTCGGCTCTTCCTCTGTGGCCTTGGGATAGAAGAATATCAGGGTCTCTGAATCTGTTTTCCTTATCTGTAGAGTAAGGATAACAACCTCTTCCAAATCTTCAGGATGAAATAACCCTCATGCCTTAGTTATGAAAATAAATTGACAGACTATATATGAAAAATGGTTTAAAGATCAAAATGTGATTTTTAAATGCCAGGTGGCATTGTTAATCTCCTATGGGTAAAGATATAAAAGTTTTGCTGAACTGTATTAGGAAAGGGTAGGGCGGGACTGAGCCCCCGAGATGGTGTGGCTCTGTGTCTACTTTGCAAGTGTGGGGAAGGCGGAGAGAAACTTCAGGAAAGATGAACTCTAACCACGTGTGTGGCCTCTGTCCTTCACCATAGGAAAAACTAAAATTTCAGCATGGCCTTAATTTGTGAAAAGAAAACCTCATTCCAGAAAAACCTTCACTAGTAGACCTTACATATAAGCTAGATTTTTCATTTAAAGAATAAATAGAATACTGATAGATGAAGATTTATTTTTAAGGTTTTGGCATTTGCATATAGAATACCTAATTTATTCTTTCTGGTCTTGTTGAAGTTAAAACCCCATTTCCCTAAAATATTTTCTACAAATATGACATTAAGTATGGAATTATAAGATGTTAAACATATAAAGAACCCTAAAACCAATGATAAGATAGGAAGACTTTCTAATATTAAACTGGATGTAAGACATGAACAACTCATTCCCTGAAGAAATACACATAACCAAAACAAATAAGAGACAGCATCAACACTTACAAAAATGGAAAAATAGAAAACAAGAGCAGTAGAGAAATAGATAAGTAAATTTTGATTCACCCATCTGATGGAATGTCTTATGTAGCCAGTAAAAATCACGTTCTTAAAGAATATTTAACAGTGAAGGGGAAGTTTATCAAAAATATATAATGTGAAATGAAAAAAAAACAAAACAGTACATATAGTAAGATTAAAATTGTTTGTTAATGCATGTCTATATAAGTGCGTATTTATACATGCCTGGAAAAAAGACCAGCAGAAAATACATTGAAATATTATGAGTGGTAGCTGGTTGGTAGGCTTCTCAATGATTTTTATTTCTTTTATTTATACCTTATTATTTTCTTTTTATAATGGTATGGATTACTTCCCAAATCGGAGAGGAAAGTAGATGTTATCATGAAAACAGTCATTTCCTGTTCTTCCCAGTCATCTGCCCCTACCATACTTAATTCTCCTTCTCTTGGTACCACTCGGACCTCAGCTGACAGATGTCTTCTGGGCATGGGCCTTTACAAAGGCCCTTCTTCCTGTACGACTTGTATTTTCAAGGTAATCAGGGCAATCTCTGACTTTGAAAAGGACGTGTTTCTCCCCTGGTTATTATGAAATGCAAGAAGGGATAATTGATGCCGCCTGCCCTGGGCGCCCCTCCACCTCCCTGCTGACTCTGCACTCAGCTCCGTCCCCAGGGCGCGCCCAGCAAGCCCCTGTCCCAGGACTGAGTGGAAGGACGCAGAAACCCACCAGGAATTACCTCGCCTTGCGTGACCTGGTTAAAGAGAGGTTTCCTACTGGCTGGCATAACCTTCCCAGCTCTGCAAGCTGACAGGTTTTATGGCTATAGAAAAGGAACCTTTTAAAAAAATAAAAATAAATGTCTCATTCAGTTTTGCTACTCTATAATTTCTAAGCCAAAGGAAAAACACAAAAAAAGGAGAAAAAAGAAAAATCAACCAAGAGCAGACAGCCGCTGGGCACATTTATACTTAATACATATGGATGAAGATATCTGTTATTTATAGAGCCCTTTCCATGTGTCACACTCGGTGCAAAAGGCTTTGCAAACTTGCTCTTATTGAATCCTCAAACGAGCCCTCTGTGATAGGTAGGATGGCATTGTTCGCTGGTACAGGAAGTTGGCAGAGGGGAGGGTAAGCAGCTTGCCGAGGTCACAGAGCTCGGATTTGAACTCGGGTCTGCGGACTCTAGCGCCCACCCTCTTAAAGAAACTTCCACCCAGTCTCTATTCTGTCAGGACATCACTGATGGGAGGGTTGTTTAGAAGTGGAAGGCCTTTCATATGCATGCTCGTGTCTACTTTTATTTGTCTTTGAAGCTCCTTCCTCTGTTCTGATCTTGCATCATCACAGCAGTTACCTTTAATGCCACCTCATTTTTTTTTTCAGAGTGGAAATAAGGTGTCAATCACTACTACTCCTTTTGAAAACACATCAATCAAAACAGGACCAGCCAGGAGAAACAGCTATAAGAGCCGGATGGTGAGGCGGAGCAAGAAATCTAAGAAGAAAGAAAGTCTAGAAAGGTTAGTGGAGCTATTATTTAGTAGTATTTGTGAGTCTGGTGTATACCCATCTTGAAGAAAGGTTACTCCTTACTTACCTTAAATGCTTACATATGACAAAGATCTATTTCTCTCTGAAAAATTTCACGTCCAGGTTCACATGTATTATACATTAAAGTTCATAGTCATAATAGCATTAATTTCCATAGTAAAAGGATTTACATATTTACATGATAGAAGGATTTAGAGTGCTGCTTATCATATGGGAAAGCCAGGAAAAGTCCTTTGCTGTTTTTTTAAGCTTCTCCATTTCAGTTGAGTTGGATTTAAGGAACTGGACTTCCAGGCAGTTTTTATAATAACATTAAAGCTACATTTAAATTGTGTCCTTTAGATTATCTAAAAACAGTTGCCATTTTTTTTAAATGCCAGATAGTCTAAAATAACTATATCTTTAAAGTTTCCAAGCAAGCCTAAAAATAAAAGGGCTTTGTTTCATGGACTGGAACTCCAATTAGCTCATACACGTCTGCAGCCTGGGAAGCAGTGACGAGGATCTTTTCGTGCTCTGTGCAAACACCTGCAAGATGCAGGTGTGTGTTCCTGGCAGGGGTATTTCTTGCCAGGCAGCTCTCTGGGTGTGCCTCCTGTGTAGTGCCATGGCATTCTCCTCGGCCCACTCTGACCTTATGAAATCTTATCAAATTAAGAGGATTTTTGATGATAGAAGTGTAGAAAAATAAGCAAACAAAAAAAGAATGATTTATTAATGCTAGGAAAAATAAATAAGCTTACCTAAGAGAGAAAGCAGAATTATGCTTCTCATGGCCCAGCGGTAAACAATATTTATAACATAGAGTAAGACACCAGCCCTTTTTCTAACCAAAAATTTTGGTTTATCTGTATTTGGAGGAATAGACAAGGGGAAGTATGTTTGGTCAGAAGGTAGGAGGGGGCTGTACAAGAGCTCAGTTGTGATCTTGCATAGTAGGAAATCAACAGACAATTTCTAAAACTCAAACACTAAAACACAGGGTAAGTACATTGTTTAGCAATATGCAGACAAATGGGAGCAGAAACAGGTGGTGTAAGAGTAGCAAGTGGTTTTTCTGGGGAGTGGAGAGAAAGTAAAGTAGAGGAGTTGCTATTTTTTCATTATAAGTTTATAGAACTATTTGACTTTTCAACCTGAGTATAATTATTACTTTGATTAAAATTAAGCACACACAAGTTCTGGGATCCTCCTTTTCTTTTTTGTATGCTAAAGCTTTAACACATTGATGGCTACACACAAAAAAAATCAGGAACTTTTCCTCGGGACCACAGTGTTTTATTATGAAAATAGAGTCAAAACTTTAGTGTAATTTCAAGGTAAACATAAATAGAAAAATGAAATTTCACTTCTATTCATTTACTTCATGATTTTAGAATTAAATTGTCAGTATTCTAACAATAAGAGCATCAACAAGTAGTATTTCACCACATGTACTCACCAGCAAATTGGTATTAATGGATCAACACTTAAGTGGACATATATGAATAACATTTATCGGGTGGGGGGCAGGGGGGAGGGGGAGGGGAGATGGGTATATACAAACATAATGAGATGTGCAACGTTTGGGGGATGGACACGCTTGAAGCTCTGACTCGAGGGGGGAGGGTGGCATGGGCAATATACATAACCTTAACATTTGTAACCCCATAATATGCTGAAATAAAAAAAATAATAAAATTAAATTAAAAACAAAAAACAAAAACAAGTAGTATTTCATATATGCTTCACATGGCCCCGGGGTCAAAACTAGAGTGAGTTAAATATAGCTCTCATGGTAGTTAAGGAGTTATTTGTGCTTTCAGTCATATAGAACAAACTGTTTTGAGGAGTAGCAATGTGAAAGTTCTGTTTAAGCTCGTGGGGGTGTGTTAGGCTTATAGCATGGTAAAAGAGCTCTATCGTCAGGGTACTCACATGCCCTGACAAGCCATCAGAAGCTATGATCTTTGGCTTTAGGATGTGCTCACTGAGCCCTAACTGCATTTTTGCTTCTAATGCTACACATTGTCTGCCGCCCTTGCTGATACGATACACTTCAGCTTCACCTTTCTCGGTTTTCCTGTGTGAATGTACAGCCCCCATTGTTGTCAGGCATATTCAAGAGCCCACAGTGGAGTAAGCACAGCAAACAGCCCTTCAAAGATAAAGCCTCCGCCCAGTGTATGACCACTGAAGAATTCTGTACCCAGGATAATGGTTTTTCTCCCAGAGATTTACTTAGTGTTACTTCTTAATTAAATCGTGTCAACATATTTGGGGATATATATTCAGAGGCTTTCAGGCAGAGAACATCTTCCTCATAAACCTAACAAGTAAATGAATATGTTTTTAATGTATCTTATATTTTTCCTGTTTTCCTAGCCCTTCTTAAAAGTGTTTGGACTTAAGATCGCTTCTGTTGTGTACTACCAAAGACTATGCCTTTACACATCATAAAAAAGTTTTTAATATAAAAGTAGTATCCTACTATTGAACAGGATCTGCAGACATTTCACTGTCTCTGACAAGGAATACACTGGTATTTTCGGGAGGCAGGAATAGTTCTGAAAGTAGACTCTGCTCCATTTTTCCCTGTTTTCACCCTAGGAGGAGATCTCTTTTCAAAAAGCTAGCCAAGCAGCCTTCTCCGTTGCTCCACACCAGCCGGAGTTTCTCCTGCTTGAACCGATCGCTGTCGTCAGGAGAGAGCCTGCCAGGGTCCCCCACGCACAGCGTGTCCCCCAGGTCTCCCACGCCAAGCTATCGCTCCCCCTCCGACTTCCCGTCAGGTGAGTGACTTCCCTGGTCCGGACAGCAGGAGAGAGCTGGGAGGAGGCAGAGTCACCATCTCAGGTCCTGAAAAACATGACGCGTATTCCACCTTAAGGAAAGCAGGTTGAGGATGTGAATGATACAGACAGGATTTACAAGGGAGGTCATAAGATGTAGCTATTCTGACCAGTAAAATGAGGCAAGAAGTCTGGGGTTAACCTTTGATGTGGGGAAGTTTATCTGAAAAGTGTTTATTTCACTAATTAGAGGCTCAGACAGTTTGCCAACCTTCACCTGGCCTTTCCTACAACAGTCTGGGCTGCAAATGTAGAAATGAAAAGGGATGTGACCATGGATGCTCACAGCCTTCTGTTTTCCACCCACAGGTACTAATTCCTCCCAGAGCAGCTCTCCAAGTTCTAGTGCTCCCAATTCCCCGGCGGGCTCGGGGCACATCCGGCCCAGCACCCTCCACGGTCTGGCCCCCAAACTCGGCGGGCAGCGGTACCGCTCCGGAAGGCGTAAGTCGGCCGGCAACATCCCGCTCTCCCCGCTGGCCCGGACGCCCTCTCCAACCCCCCAGCCCACCTCCCCTCAGCGGTCCCCATCCCCTCTTCTGGGACACTCCCTGGGCAATTCCAAGATCACGCAAGCCTTTCCCAGCAAGATGCACTCCCCTCCCACCATCGTCAGACACATCGTGAGGCCCAAGAGCGCAGAGCCCCCGAGGTCCCCGCTGCTCAAGCGCGTGCAGTCCGAGGAGAAGCTGTCACCCTCCTACAGCAGCGACAAGAAGCACCTGTGCTCCCGCAAGCACAGCCTGGAGGTGACCCAGGAGGAGGTGCAGCGGGAGCAGTCCCAGCGAGAGGTGACCCTGCAAAGCCTGGAGGAGAACGTGTGTGACCCGCCGCCCCTGAGCCGCGCCCGGCCGGTGGAGCAAGGCTGCCTGAAACGCCCGGTCTCCCGGAAGCTGGGCCGGCAGGAGTCTGTGGATGAGTTGGACCGGGACAAGCTGAAGGCCAAGGTAGTGGTGAAGAAGCCGGACGGATTCCCCGACAAACAAGAATGCCACCAGAAATCCCACGGACTCGGGAGTGATTTGGAAAACCTTGCTATCTTTAAGCTAGAAGAGAGAGAGAAGAAAGTCTATCCGAAGGCTTTGGAAAGGTCACATCATTTTGAAAACAAGGCGGCCGTGCAGGAAGCCCAGTCTCTGGGCAGTCTGCTGAAGGACGCGCTTCACAAGCAAGCCAGCGTGCGTGCCAGCGAGGGCGCCGCGTCCGACCCAGCGGTGGCCGGCTCTGGCCTGGCACACGGGGAGCACAGCCAGGGCGCTGGGGACTTCAAACGGGCCTCTGCTCCTGGCGCCCTCCAGGATGGTCTCTGTCACTCTGTCGACAGGTCCTCCTCTGGGAAGGGGGAAAGCATAGAGAAGGCCAAGGAACTTCTCCGATGTGAGAAGTTAGACAGCAAGCTGGCCAATATCGATTACCTCCGAAGGAAGATGTCACTTGAAGACAAAGATGACAGCCTCTGCCCCGTGGTGAAGCCCAAGATGACAGCTAGCCCCCACGAATGCCTGCCAGGGAACCCAGCCCGGCCCATGGCAGGGCAGCAGGAGCCCCCCCCAGCCTCTGAGAGCCGGGCCTTTATCAGCAGCCCCCACACAGCCCAGATCAGTGCCATCTCTTTTGTTCCCCTCAAGGGCTTGGCTGGCCGGGTGGACAGTGGAGTGGAGAAGCCAGGCTTGGCTGCTCCTGAGTCCCCTGTCAGGAAAAGCCCCTCCGAGTACAAGCTGGAAGGCAGGTCTGTTTCATGCCTGAAGCCCATTGAGGGCACTTTGGACATTGCTCTCCTTTCTGGACCTCAGGCCTCCAAGACAGAGCTGCCTTCGCCGGAGGCTGCACAGAGTCCCAGCCCCGGTGGTGACGTGGGGCCTTCTGCGCCACCAGCTCTCCCTGGCAGCAGCAAGAAAAAGGGAGAAACTATCAATCCAAGAGAGCCTTCTCCTGCCAGCTTAAAGATGAATAAATCCCATCTGCTCGAGCCTCGGTTCCTGACCCCAAGTCGGGGTCTCCAGAATTCACCAGCAGCTCCCCTGCCTGAACTAGAAGTAAAGCAGGACAAGAAGGTTTCCCAGCCTGCTGCCAGGAGCCCAGTGACAGTTGTGGGAAATGATCCCCAATGGAGAGAGAGTGGCCACCCCAGACACCAAGACCACACCACTGACGCCAAGCTCCTCCCCTGCCTGGGGCCGAACCTCCACGGTGCTGGCCTGGCCAGGCCACGTGGCCCACTCCCACCCGAAGGTACCTCCTCCAGGGAGAAGCCAGGCCTGAAGGAATCGTCTGAAAGGGGCCCTTCCACAGGCAGAAGCGAGCGGTCTGCTGCAAGGGCTGATGTGTGCAGAGAACCCTCCGTGGAGCCATGCCTGCCAGAAACTTCTAAAAGCAGCGACAACTCCAGAAATCTCCCCTCTGTGGGAAGGACCCGCCCAGATTTCTATACGCAGCCCCAGACCATGGAAAAAGTGTGGGGGTCTTGTGGGAATACAAGCCACAGAGATGGCCGGGATGAGGTGAGGGCCCTGGCCAGAGAGGATTCTTTGCACTCAGCTGGGCTTCCTTGTGAGAAGCAGCTGGGCAAGGAGAGAAGCGGCACAGAACCCAAGCCTGAAGCCCCTCCTGCCAGACCCTCTCTGCAGCCACCTGGAGTTGACAGTGGGAAGAGTGAAAAGCTCTCCAGCTTCCCATCTTTGCAGAAAGATGGTCCCAAGGACCCCGAAAGGAAAGAGCCGCCTCCACAAAGGCATCTTGTCAGTAGCCCTCAGCCCCCCGTGACCACCAAAGAACTGCCCAGCCTGGCCTCCTGGCAACATTGCGGTTCCCCGAGCCACACTTCCAGCAGAGCGCCGGGAGCCAAGCCCGGTGCTGCAGAACCCAGTCCGGGCCCCCCAGCCCCTCCCAAGCCTGCTGCTTTGCCCAGTGAGAGCGGCAGCCACAAGCCCCGCCTGGGCCCTGACCCAGGCCCTCCCAAGTCTAAGCACGCGGACAAGTCTCTCTCCTCACAGAAACCGAGCATCGGGGCTGCGAAGGGCAAAGAACCTATCACTCAGCCGCCCTGTGGCTCTAGCCGAGAGGGGAAGGGCAGCGGTAAGGGTGGCTTGGAAGTGTTCCCTGTCATCCCAGGCCACCAGAACAAAGCCAGCGATGTGATTGGCCAGGGAGAAAGTCGGCCCTCTGCCCCACCGCACACTGAAGGGGGTCCTCCAGACACCACGCTGAAGCCCACCAGCGGCGGGCGCCCACCGGAGATGCCGGAGAAGCCCGCGCATTTGCCGAGGCAAGGACCCCCAGGGATTGGCGAGTCAGTGGAGCAGAAACTCTCCACTGTCGAGACACAAAACCCATCTCCAAAGCACCCCAAACCATCCACTGTGAAAGACTGCCCCCCTCTGTGCAGACAGACAGACAAAAGCCCGAGTCAGCAGGCCACCACCACCGACAGGAAGTCCGAAGGGAAGAAATGCACAGAAGCACTTTATGTCCCAGCAGATGGCGAGAAGCTCGAGGCCAGCCCTTCCCACGGGCACGGGGAGACCTGGCCGAGAGGCGTGGAGAGGCCGGCTGCAGCAGTGGGGAAGGGCTTCCCAGAGGCCAGGGGGAAAGGGCTCGGTCCCCAGAAACCAGTGACTGAGGCGGGCAAGCCCAGCGGCATGAAACGGTCACCCTCGGCCACAGGGCAGAGTTCTCTGCGATCGGCCGCCCCCCTGGAAAAGTCCCTGAGCTACTCCTCCAGCTTTCCCGAAGCCAGGCCAGCAGCTCGAGATGCCTTTACGGCCAACGGCGACACCTCTTCTGCCAAGGCCAACGGGGGCACGGCTGAGCCCCCAGCCCCCAGCAATAGGGACCATAGGAAGTGTCAGTCGGGGGGTGACGGCAGAACCCAAATGACAAAGAGCGACTCTTTGCCATCCTTCCGGATCTCCACCACCACCCCGGAGTCACACCACCCTGAGCCAAACGTGACGGGCGGAGCCAGCCACCGGGACAGGGCGCTCTCTGTGACTGCCTCCACGGGAGAAACCAAAGGCAAGGGGCCTCCCCCGGCCAGGAGACAGAGTGCGGGCAGAGAAGGGGCCAAGCCCCCGCAGGCCCCGAGCACTGACCGCCCCATCGCCCTTTCTTCTGAGAAGGACTTCGTGGTGCGGCAGAGGCGGGGGAAAGAGAGTTTGCGCAGCAGCCCTCACAAAAAGGCCTCGTAACGGGGCAGGCCCCGGGGCCGGGCCGCGGTGACCCGCCCGAATGCGTGACTGCGTCTTGACTGCCTTTCGAAACCAGCACTGTGTGGGGACGTCCGCCAGGCAGAGCGCCGCGCCTCCTCGAGGAAGGAGAGAGAGACAGAAAGAGGGGACCTTCTTCCAGATGCCTTCCCAGTTGTAACCAGTAAAACTGTTACCAGATAGTGTTTGTACGGGGAAAAGGAAAAAATACCTTTACAGTTGAGGGTTGTTGAGGAAAAAGATTTTCTCTGTAAATAAATAGCAACGTGTTCGGTTTGGGATGTAGAGTCTATACCTTGCTGCTGATTGCGTCGTTTACTACAGCTTTTTTTTTTTTTTTTAAAATAAGACTTTTGCTTTACCGTTTATCATAATGTAATAGTGAAGCGAAATGGTCAAAACTGGGTGTATGTAAAAATATAGATACACTCCTATTCGTGTATATACACATCCACCCACATATTTTGGTCTGTGGTTTAAGAGAATATTTCAGGGTTCCATTTTTATAAGCTAAAGCACTCTACGTGAAGTTAAAGATGGAAGAAAGCCCTAAATACAGTAGATTGTGAGTTTTTATGTGTATTTTTAACCAGAGTTTCTGGGTAGTACTATATCTGGCTACCTATGTTTCCAGATCTAAAGCAAGAACTCCTGTAGTCACTGCATTTGGAGTCCTCCTCCATTAGGACGGGCCGGGACAGGTGGAGCTGGCCGTTTTCATTTCACAGTCATCCTAATGGACATTCTGATCCTGGGTCCAACTGTCTGAAAGGCCGGTTGTCCTTGTCTATGGCTGTGTATGTCTGGTCTTCACCTGAAGTAGAGCAGGGACTATAAACACACATCAACTCTATTTCTGTTCTCTTTTTTCCCCTTCTTTTCAAGCTGTTAAACTCAGGCCTTTATGCTGTGAGTAAGTAGTCCAAGAAGCACACATTTTGTAGAAGTCCAGAACCAGCCCTGCTCTTGAATTAAAAGGAAAATTGCTGGCTGCACACAAATCTGCTAGTACTTAGGTCAAGTAATAAGCATCAGGCATTGGAAGAGGTTTTAAATTTGCTTTTGTGAGGAGAAGAACAGGGGCGGGGGATTTTGGCATCATAGCATATATATTAAGGAATAATCAGGACATCAGATACATTTTAATACATAGCTGGGGCCTTATGTTGTAGATGAAGCTTGCTGTTTTTAGCAAGTTCCTGGGTTTCACATTCATTTCTGATGCATCGAGTAGCTCCATACATTTCATAACATGATCTCTTTATTTGTATGCAAAAAAAAACTGTATTAATAAAGAGCAGCATTTTTGTAACAGACTTGGAGCTATTTGGTGCTTGAATGTGACCATCCTTTTTACTTTTGCTAAGCCTTATTTAAATTTTGTATACTGTGGAATACGTAGAATTTGTCAAATCATTTTAGTGCTGAAGGTTTCTGATTTGGGGGTGTTTTATTTGTTGCAGGGTTTTTTTTTTTTTTTGGTGGCTTGTTTTGTATTGTAATATGGCACTTGCTGACATAAGTACTAAGGCACTAAGAAAATACAGATAAGTATTCATTAGATGCATGGGAACCATAGCAGGAATTTTTTGTTTCATTTTTTAAGAGAAAAATATTACCAACAAATAATTAATTCAGCACCCAAACCCCTTTGGGGATGTCTTAGTATCCTCAAGCTATAAAATTGTTTATCTAAGCACAGCATAATATACAGCCCTGTGGATTGTAAATCTTCTAGGGAGGCTATAAACTCCACCTCGAAAACAAAAGCATAACTTAACCAACTACTCGGTTGTCCTTCATTGTAAAATGAGTTGGTAATGGGCAAAAACAAAAAAGAAAAATGTCTCTTCTTTGCCCCTAATTTTCTTCCATGTGGTTTTAGCCATTCCACATCACTACATTGTGAAACTGTAGAAGAAACACATATTTTATAAGAACTTAAATGGGTTTCTGAAGTGTTCTCAGCGTTTATAATACATATCTGTGTTTGGCGGTTGTCATAATCCAATCCTTCTACACTCAGACATCGAGACAGGTCTATCGGGGAGGTAGTTCATGGTTTACAGCCTTTTTTTTTTTTTTAACTGTCTAGTTTCCTTTGAAGCACAACTAGCTGTTTACAAATGATATTTTATGTATATTTTGTATAGTGTGTTATCATTTTTGCCAAATATGTTTTTCATTATGGATGAGTAAAGAGTACTTAAGGTTGCATTCATGTAATACCTGTTGTTGTAAACCTCTCCAATCAGCTGGTAGAAATTCTCGTTGTGTTCTGTTCGGTCAGTCTCTATGTGATTGTAAGATGTGCTCCTCGGTAGTACTCCCAGCTGTAGATTTGCCAGCTTAAAAGTTTGTTTAGGATCTGTGCAATAAAGTGTTTGCAGTCTTATTTTCTCTAAGAAATTCCTTATGGATGTCATAATTGTTGTATATTGAACAAAATATTTATACTTATGCAGTTGCATAACATTGAAATAAAAATTTAGCATGAAAGATAATGACTAAGTGTTTTCCAATATGCACCTATACATCCTCCCTCCAAAAATACTAGTGATTATTACTCTGTACTATGGAAAGTATGAGTTTTTGCAAATTGCTTTTTGCCGAGTGGAGCAGTTTGCCTTGTTTTTTTAACTTATGCTCAATCCATTCTTCAGGATTAAGTCCTCCTCTCATTCCTTCCTATTTTCTCCCCCCACCTTCTTCCTTGCCTGCAGAACTTACCCACATCCACACCCACACCCACCATCTTCCTGCAGCCTCTGGGAAGAGACGCCCATCTGTGAGATACCACCTCCTCTGCTCTCCCAAGATCTCGCTCCACCTGTTACCATCATCTCCCTCACTGTTCTCTCTCCCCTGCTTCCCTCTTTCCTTCCAGAAAACCCTTTCCCTAACCTTCCTTTTGCCTCCAGTCCCTCCTTAGCTGAGCTCCCAAAGGAATGATCTGCACGTGATGTTTCCAGGTCTGTGTATCGCTGCTCGCCCCATTGGAATCTGGCTTCTGTCGCCCATGCCATCAACACTGCTCTGGGAAGGTCACTAATGACATACGGCTGAATCCAAAGTCCACATTTCAAGACGTCACTTAGTAGACCGTCTCTGTCAGTCCCAGTCTGCCCTGACGCTGCTCTCCAGCCTGTTTTTGTCTCTTGAAAATTTCTTCTTCCTCCTCTGAGTACTTGTCCCCTTAAATACTGGTTTTTCCCAGGGCTCATTCTGGAGTTCTGGGCATTTCCCTTTCACCCACTCCTTGGCTTTTCCTTTCAGGGGCATTTCCTCTTGGCTCCTGCTTAGGCACCTCACACTCCAAATGTCCAAAACCCTACTCATTCTCTTCTGTGCCTCTTCTCTCAGGCACACTGTATTCCCTATCTTCCCTCCAAGCCAGATCCTGGCTTTCTGCCTTACCTCTTCTTTCTCTTTTTACACCTAAAAAAAAAAAATCGCCAATTCCCACCAATTTCACAAAATGCTCTTCTGTGCAATCCCTCTCCCCTCACTGTTCTGCTGCTGGCAGCCTTAGTTTCATCTCTGTCATAGTCTCTTTCTGGATTACCTGCACTCTTACCCCTTCCAGTCGGTTCTCAATGTCCTTAGAGCGATGTCTCTCAAATGCAGGCACAGCCGGGCGCGGTGGCTCACGCCTGTAATCCTAGCACTCTGGGAGGCCGAGGCGGGCGGATTGCTCGAGGTCAGGAGTTCAAAACCAGCCTGAGCAAGAGCGAGACCCCGTCTCTACTATAAATAGAAAGAAATTAATTGGCCAACTAATGTATGTAGAAAAACTTAGCTGGGCATGGTGGCACATGCCTATAGTCCCAGCTACTCGGGAGGCTGAGGCAGAAGGATCTCTTGAGCCCAGGAGTTTGAGGTTGCTGTGAGCCAGGCTGACGCCACGGCACTCACTCTAGCCTGGGCAACAAAGTGAGTGTCTCAAAAAAAAAAAAAAAAAACGCAGGCACACCACATCCAACCCTGCTTTGACCCTTCAAAGAGCTCTGATGTTTTTTGGGATGAAGGCCAGCTCCTGAAACGTGTTCTTAGCTTTGGTGACACCAGCTCAGCACGCACGTGGGGCCTGGGCATCTGGAGGAGGCCTCCCGGGAAGGATGGGCTGGCCCGTGGACCCACCGTCTGCACTTCCCCGTGCATCTGTCTCACTGCATTATTTTGGAATTATCTGTTTCTGCATGTGTATCATCTTTACTAGACTCCAAGATCCCTGGGAGCACGTAAGAGCTGTCAATAAATATTTGCCGAACTGAATAGAACAAAAAAGGAGGTGCTAGTGGGAGCTACCATGTGTGGCACAGTTCCCAGGAGCCAGCTACCACGCTGTGTACATCTTCTCCATCTCCGTGCCCTTTGAACTGTGTGTCGCTTCATTTCATCAATTAGGAAACCAAGACTTAGGGTAAGTGACTAACCCTCATGACAGGCGGGACTGAGACTTGAACTCTTGAGCAATCTGCAGGACAGCCCACACATTAGCCTCTGCCATTAGACGTGACTCGCCGCCCCCACCCTGTTCTACTGCAACGTAAGTTACAAGATGAAAGGGAACCGATTGTGACAATGGTTTCACTGCATGTATGATATAGTTTTCCCTGCTTAGAGGAATCACTCTAAGAATCACATTTTTAAAAAAGTAATTATGGAAATGATCGTTTTAATGGGACTTGGATATCATGCTATGCAGAAAAGGGAGTCTTCGCCATAAAAGAAAAACTCACAAAGAGTATTAAGCACACACATCACAGGGCCAGTCACAGCCACAGCCGCAGCATTAGCTGGTAAATAACCAATTTAGAGCAAATGCATGAACTTCTTAATGAAAACAAGTGAAAGATTGAAGTTTCAAAGGTATTTGTTGTAGTCTAGACTAGGTAAAACCACTGAGGTGAATTGAAGGGCAGACAACTTGACAATCTTGCTCTTGTGGGTCTTGTCACTTGGGGGCGTAATAACTCGTATCATGTTTTCAGCATCCACGTTCTGTTATTTTACCTTAGTTGGGGTATTTTTCATGTAAATGTAATTAAGCGGGGGCATAATATTTTCCTAACAAATGGCGAGGGCTACATCTCTTAAGCCCAAGGCTTTTTTGTTTTGTTTTGTTTTAAGAGATGGGATCTCACTGTGTTGCCCACCCTGGCCCTGAACTCCAGGGCTCAAGCGATCCTCCTGTCTTGGCATCCTGAGTAGCTGGGATTACTGGTGTGCGTCTGGCTCCTCAAGCCATTATTTTAAAACTCTATAACAAAATGTAAGTACAATGGGATGCAGCTTACAGAAATTAAGATTCTCACTTTTGTGATGGGGTGGGGATGGGGGTGAGGGGATGAGACTACCCAGTGGACCAGAGAGTTCATGAACTGGAGATAGAATTAAGGTAAGGAGAAATCACTTAAAAAAAAATCAATGCTAACCCACCCATGTGGGGCAATCACATTGGGTACTGAACAGCCAAGCACTTAAAAGGGGAGAAAAGAGAAGAGTTTAATAACCTCAGATGAAGCAGCACATCTCAGCTCTAACATGTACACAAATCACATGGGGATCTTGCTAATTCTGATTCAGAAGAACTGGGGTGGGGAAGAAAATTCTAAGTGTCCAACAAGTGATGCATTGCTGTCTGCTTGTTGACCATGTTAATGCCCTTACCTGGCTATGCCAGAATGTTAGAATATCTGAGGATTGGGCCTAGGCATATGTAAGTTAAAAAACAAAAACAAATACCCTCTACAAGTGGTTCTAATGTGCAGTCAAGGTTGAAAAGCAAAAACAAGGAATAACCCACCCAGAGGCTGACACTTAACTCACTCCTATACCTTAACGTGAAACCACCATAAATAGAGCTTTAAGATATTTCCCATATAATTGCTGGTCCAATTACCCTGGACCCTAAAGATATTTCTCAAAGTGTGGTCCTCAGACCAACAACATCTGCATCACCCAGGAGTATTAGAAATGCAGAATCTCAGGCCCCACCCAGACCCACACTAATTTTCTGCATTTTAACCTGCTAGCCAAGTAATCAGTTTGCTCATTGAAGTTTGAGAAGCATTGATATCACTATTTTCCAGACTTCCTGGGAGATAAGAATTACTTGGGATGTTTGTTAAAATACAAATTCCCAGGCCTCAGATTCACTCAAAAATCTCTGGAGAAAAGCCTGGAAAACAGGGTGTGTAATCAGTGGATGTGGGGAGGCAGGGGCAGGTGATTCTTACCACCCAAGCATGGGAACTACTGGTGTAAGAGTATATTAATCTGTGTTCAAATTTGTCTACAACCAAAGTCTATGATAATTAGTGTTTTTTTAAGGCCTTGACCATAGAAAACTCATAATTAAAAACCGTTGAAACCAGTAGGAAGAAAGAAAGCAGCCAAATATTTGTTATCTACCTATTTTATATATATGTATATATATACGTGTGTGTGTGTGTATATATATACATGAATATACTGAGCATGAATATATATATATATATTCATATATATATATATTCATGCTCAGTACTGGGCAAGATGCTTTTCATCTGTCATCTTATTTGAACATCAACACAATCTTCAAACCAGGTGGTGATGTTTCCATTTTACAGATGAAGCAACAGGCCCAAACAGGCTATGAAGTTTGCTTAATGTACACCTTGTAAAGAGAGCTTGGATTAGAATCTGGATATTTCTGGTTCTAAAGTTCTCAACCTTTCTAAAAATTACCAGGTGTCGTGTAATTCAATTGAGATTCAGGTCTCTCTCTGAATGATCTAAGCCATCTTATTTCCTCTTCCTTTACATGCAGAAAAGTCATATGGTATTTAATTATGAATTTGATAATTGGTGGGAAACCATAAGCAAAGGAAGTTAATCATTCTCTGTAATAGGGCTCCTTTATTAGTTCTAATTAATCACAGGGAATTTCCCATCTAGCACTTTCAGTTCACAACACAAATGTAGCATGAAAAAGTAGAGCTATAGTAGCTACAGTAATTTGCTTCCTTCAGTCTAGGCCAGGCATGAAGGACATCTATGGGGACAGTTCTCTACATTTAATTCCTTCCTACTAGGATGTTTTAAACTCATTCTTCAAAGCAATCATTTTGTGTTATTCCTCTCTTTCTCTACCCCCTACTCTGGTTAATATTGTACACGTCTCATATACCTACGAAAAGCTAGAGATGACCAAGGCTTTGTGGAACCTCAGTTTCATTACCTTTTATATATTGAAAGCCACTCAGCCTGGCCTAAGTTCAAGAAATTCTCTGGCAGTTGGGACACCTCAGGTGCTGGACTGCTGACATGAGTGCCAGTCCTCGTAGGAAAACACGCAGCGACATCTCACTGATTTCTGAGACTGCATTCCAAAGGACAAGATTGTTACCTCTTATAATGTCACCAGCTGATGGTGGAGCTGTCAATCCCAACACTTGTATGCAGGCAGGCACTTCAGAAATTTTCTATACACTCCATGACATGCCTGTCCAGTA